ATGCAAAAAAAAACAAAAAACAAAACAAAGAAAGAATGAAAGAAAGCAACTAGACTACCAACTTACACCATACACAAGAATAAACTCAAAATGGATAAAAGGCTTAAATATAAGTTGTGAGACTATAAAAATCCTACAAGAAACCACGGGCAGCAAAATCTCATACATCTCTGGTAGCTATATGTTTACAGATACATCTCCTAATGCAAAGAAAACTAATGAAAAAAAAATAAACAAACGGGACTATATCAAAAAAAGAAGCTTCTGCACAGCAAAAGAAACCATCAACAAAATAAAAAGAGCCCACTGTATGGGAGAACATATTTGGGAAAGATACATCAGATAAAGGGTTAATATAAAAAAATATAGGGAACTCATACAACTTAACAAAAGGAAGACAATCCAATTAAAAAAATGGGCAAAGGATCTAAATAGACCCTTCTCCAAAGAGGACACATGGATGGCCAAGAGACATGAAAAAACTAGAAGCCTGATCCACAGAATTTGTGCAAGAGTAGGCCTTCGCAGCCCCGGCTTCATAGGAAAGGTCATCCGGACAGGCATTCCACTGTTTGGCCGTTCAGTCGATTTGAATATTGCGCTCTTATTAGTATAGATGCTCAAAGTCCCTAATCATCCGAGAGATGCAAATCAAAATGACAATAAGGTACCATTCTCACACCTGTCAGAATGGCTACCATCAACAAATCAACAAATAACAAGCACTGGAGAGGATGTAGAGAAAAGGGAACCCTAGTACACTGCTGGTGGGAATGCAGACGTGTCAGCCACTGTGGAAAACAGTATGAAGTTTCCTCAAAAAATAAAACATGGAACTGCCATTTGACCCATTGTTCCACTTCTAGGAATATACCCTAACTAGTGGCCTGGTGCAGGAAATTTATGCACATTAAAAGGAGAACCCAGAGCCCAGTCCCTGCCCACCCACATGTGCCTCAAAATCGCGAGAGATCCAGACCTGGCCGCCCACCCCCATTGGGCTAGATCTAGACCCAGCCAGTCAAGCCCCACTGGGCAGGGGGTGTAGCCTCAGGTCCCCCAGATGGGGTGAGGCCCCATCAAGCCCCGCCAGGCAGGGAGGCACAGCCTCAGGTGCCGCAGCCTGGCACCGGGAAGGAGGTGCAGCCTGAGGTCTCCTGTCAAGCCATGTTGGATGGGGGGTACGGCATGAATTCCCCTGACCCAGCACTGGGGGTGTACTTTGAGGTCCCCCGTCAAGCCCTGCTGGGGGGGGAAGGGAGGAAGAGCACAGCCTGAGGTTCACTGTCAAGCCCGCTAGGCGGGGGGGCAGCCTCAGGTCCCCTGGCCCGGTGCTGGGGTGAGGGGGTGCGGCCTGAGGTCCTCTGTCAAGTCCCACAGGAGTGGGGAAGGGCATAGCCTCAAGCCCCTGCTGATTGCTCCTTAAGGGAACCTCAGCTGTGGGTGTAGCCATCTTTGTGATGGAGTGATAGCTAATTAGCATATTCCTCCCTTATTAGATAGGATTAGATAGGATAAGCCTGAGACACCAAACAGAAAGAATGTAGGCACCCCTATGTTCAAAGCAGCACAATTTACCATAGCTAAGATCTGGAGCCCAAGTGTCCACCAGTAGATGAGTGGATAAACAAGCTGCAGTACATTTATGCCATGGAATACTGTGCAGCAGTAAAAAAGAAGAATCTTACTCTTTGGGACAGCGTGGAGGGACCTGGAGAGTATTATGCTAAGTGAAATAAATCAGCCAGAGAAAGACAATATCACATGATCGCACTCATGTGTGGGATCTGATGAACAAAATAAACTGATGAACTGAGTGGATCCAGAAACATGAAAGCATGAAATGGATTATGAAATCTCAGAGGGAAGGCAGGGGAAGGTGGGTGGGAAGCGATCACTGAAATAACTTGTATGCATATATGCATAACCCACAGAAATAGACAACCGGTTGGTGAAGGCCTGGGGCGAGGTGCAGGGGCAGGCTAGAAGGGGTCAATGGGGGAAGAGAGGACAGATGTAATATAATACTTTCAACAATATATATGAAAAAAAAATTTAAAAAGAAAGAATAAAATAGTATGGTGATTCCTCAAAAAATTAAGAATAGAGTTACCATATGACATAGCAACCCCTCTTCTGGATATCTACCTGAAAATTTTGAAAACATTTCTTTGTGAAGATATATGCACCCCTATGTTCACTGGCCAAGACATGGAAACAACTAGTGTTCTTAGATGAGATGTGTTACATATATATACAATAGAATACTACTAAGCCCTAAGAAAGGATGTAGTGCCATTTGCAACGTGGATGGATCTTGAGAATATCATGCTAAAGTGAAATAAGCCAGTCAGAAAAAGTTCACTCATATGTGGGATATAAAGCTGAAAGTAACAAATGAACAAACAAGAAAAACAAACAAAAACTCATAGACACAAACAACAGTATGGCGGTTAACAGAGGGAAAGGGAGTGGGAAACAGGAAGGGTAAAGGGGGCCAAGTATGTGATGACAGAAGATAGATGACTTTGGGTGGTGGACACACAATGCAATATACAAATCATGTATCACAGAATGTACTTGAAAATTATGTAATCTTATTAAGTAATGTCATCCCAATAAATTTAATTAAAAAAGACAACCCAAATAAAATTATAAATGAAGGAGAAGTGACATCCAACACCACAGAAATACAAAGGATTATAAGGAAATACCACAATTATATACCAACAAATTGGACAACCTGCAAGAAATGGTTAAAGTCTTAGAAACAATCTTCCAAAAATACGTCAAGAAGAACCAGAAAATGTGAATAAACCAATAACTATTAACAAAATTGAATCAGTATTAAAACAAAACAAACAAACAAAAAAAACCTCCCAACAAACAAAAGCATGGAACCAGGTGGCTTCATAGGTGAATTTCAGCAATCATTCAATACCTATCCTTCTCAAACTATTCTAAGAAATTGAGGAGAAAGGTTCCTAAGCTCATTTTAAAAGCTAGCATTATCTTGATAATCAAATTAGAGAAAGACATTACAAAAAACGAAAATTATAAGCCAATATCCTCGATGAACATAGATACAAAAATCAATATTAGTAAACCAAATTCAACAATATATTAAAAAGATCATATCATACGCCAGGACCAACTAGGATTTAATCTCTAGATAGAAGGCTAGTTCAATATCCACAAATCAGTTAACATGATGAACCATGTAAACAAAGGATAAAAATCACATGCTCGTATCAATAAATTCAGAAAAAGCATTTGACAAAATCTAGCATCGATTTATGATAAAATCTCTCAGCAAAGTGGAACGTATCCTAATATAATAAAGGCCATGACAAATCACAGCCAACATCATACTAAATGGGCAAAAATTAAAAATGTTTTCTCAATATCAGGAACAAGACAGGATGTCCACTTTCACCATTTATATTCAGCAGGTACTGCAAGTCCTAGTCACAGCAATCAAACAAGAAATAGAAGGCATCCAAATAGTAAAGGAAGAAGTAATTAATAATGGAAGTAAATAACTTGTCATTGTTTGCAGATGACAAATCTTCATTAGTCATTCAGTATTACCCCATACTCTCAGACCTAGTATGCTGTCCACATTTCTGTTTTTCCAGTTGGTACTAGAAATCATTGATTCCGTCACCCCCCAGACACTTCATCGTGCTGGTTACTGTGGAGCCTGTGGGATGACCTCAATTCTCATTTCTTATTTTTAGCTCCTCACACCATTCACAAGATATGGTACTAAGTATCATACCAAAGGTACTAGACCCCAGGATGACTTGGTTTCGGTGGCCTCCAGTCAGCGCATTCATGCAGAATTGCAGAAATGCTTGCTACAAACTATTTCCTCTGAGAGCCACATTTATTTATAAAATAAGTAAATTTTATTTTTCCATTTGCTATATTCCCCATGGATATTTTGATAATAATATGTGGCTTACATTAGCAGCATTACTTTTAGGCCAGATTTTAGAGTAACAATTTATTGACTATCTAGCACATACAAAATCTCTACTGTACTAGTCTCCTATAACTAGAAGTTATAAAGAAAAATAATAGGCTGGTATCTTCACAGGTTTTACAGATTCAGAATTTTGAGAGTATTGATAACTACCATTTATTGAGCACTTACTACATGCCAGGTGCTTTCCTATCACAATCTTCTCAAATACCTTACAAAACAGATAATTCCATTTTACAAAAGAGGAGTCTGGGACTAAGAGTTACACAGTAAATGACTGAGCTGGCATTTGAACCCAGATCTCTCCATGACTAAAATGCTCCATACTGGTTTCTCTGATATACACTGGCCACCCGCCCTACTCAACCACAGCCCTCTAAATAAACCCCATTTCTAACCCACAACAATAAGTTCAGCCACCACACCCATTCCCTTCACAGAAGAGCCCTGTATCTGTGAGGACACTGAAAAACCAAACACCTCATTTACATTCAGTACACTTGTTAAACTAAACCGAGACCAAGTCAGATTGAGAGCCTTTTGAATAAAATTTGTGTATCTCCCTCAGCAGAAAGGAACCAAAATTTAATGAGAAAAAAAAATCATTTTTTTTTCAGGTATGCTACATTTAATATCAAAAACTCAAAGAAACATAACCTTCTAGATCTTACACATTTAATGGTGACCCACTGACAAATGAAGCAGAAAAATAAGCCATCATCCAAACCACTTTTAGCTAACTGCATAACATTTTTGCAAAATCAGGAATTTTTTCAGTATGATATAATCATCAAATCACGTATTTGCTGCATGCACTTTGACAACATAGACATACTTAGAGTACTTTCTGAAACAGGCAGACACAAGAGGCAAGTCACACCAATCTTAGTAGTCAAACCGATGCTCTCGGTTCACCTACCTTGTTTCAGTTTTCACTGGCTGCTGTGCCTTGAAGCAAGCCCTAAAGGAAGCCCTAGAGCAGCATCTGAAGAATCAAAGGCATGGTACTTACCACATTAGAGTTGAGATGAGAAGACCAACGCCCACACAATCTATGAACACAACCCAAAGGAGCAGCTTTATCATCTTAAAAAATCCCATGTCCAGCACAAAGCCAAATCCCACAGTGGACACTGAAAGAGAGATTTACAAGGTTCATTCAGGCACTTTGCAAGGTTCCGGGGATACTGGACAGTCCCTGCACCTCCAGATGCCCTCGGTCCAGCAGGGTAGAGACATGTAAACCAAACCCCCAAGATGTGTTCTATGTGATTAAGAAATGCAGGCCGACTCGGGACACGGAAGGGCCATTGAGATATCTCCTTTACCAAGAAGGACCTTGTCTGTCTGTGGTTCACAGGGTGGTCCCGTTAAAGGTGAGAAAAATCTACATACTTCAACACCCTGAAGACTTTCCCTAGACTAGAAGTAGTTTCTCAAGTTCACATCAGTATTTTTACAAGTCTCCCTCTGTACTTCCCTGGTGGTGAACAGCAATTTACAACCCCGACATTCCTTTTCTCAGTCAGTTTGCATTTGGGGATGGATGTATTTATCACAGTAGTTAAAAGGCATGGAGTGTCTGTCTCTATTGCTCTGCTTTTTCATGTCCCCAGGTAACGATTGACTCTGGCAACACAGCCTTCTTTCCTGTGGGATTTGTGAGGCTTCAGGAGAGAGGCAGCAGCTTTAAATAAACCCCATTTCCGACCCTCAATAATTTATAACAAGAGTCCCCAAGTGACAAGTCCAATCAAACGCTCAGTTTGTTTTTCAACCGCTGTGCAGATCAGCGAACACTTACCACACAGCCAGACACTTAGCAGCACCAAGAAAGCGGGGTCGTCTCTGGCCCACTGATCCTTCGTCTGCTTCCGATAGTGAAAGTTCCTGTACACCCGCTGCGGGGAGGTGAACAGGTAGAGCATCTGCCAGGCGGCAAACTCAAAGTCCATTTGCCGGAAGCGAAAAAGCCTTCTCAGGTATTTGTAGCGCTTCGCTCCCGCCGTGTGTCTCGCCGCATCCCTGGAATTCAGCGCTCCGTTCCCCTGCAGCGGGGAGCTCACCGAAGTGCTCGGCAGCATCTTCCTACGGGGGCAGAAACCTCTGGCTAGTAACATGAAGAAAGTGTCGGCTACTAGGGCTCCTTTTCTGAGACATAGAGGAGGGAGGTCACCTGATGTGTGCCCCATTCCTTGAGAAAGGTCAGCTGTCATAGCGGCCAAGGGCCACACCATTCTGAACATAGGAACACCTATAGGGGCCATATGTCCATCCCAGACAATGAGAGAGAGATCAAATATTCTGGCTCTCAATCCCGTCCTCTGTAGTACCCGCCTCTAAGGAAATGACCTAGTCACACAGGTGGTCGGTCCATCAAAGCATTACCAGGTCTCCAGAAGGTGACATAAAAGTAAAGCAACACTAAAGCCCATGTTCTGCTCCACGAATAGTTCATCGGGAGACCCGTGGGAGACCCGGCGAGCCACTCTGCAGCCAGCGCCCCCCAGCCCCGCTCCCCAGCCTCCGGGCCGCCCCCGCCCGGCGCCCGCCAGCCCCGCTCCCCAGCCTCCCGGCGGGCCGGCCGAGGGCGGGGTCGCCGGGGTAACAAACAAACCGCCCTCTCCTATAGGAATCCGACACGGCAGTGCCTCTGAGTATAAGCACGTCCGAAACTCTGCCCGGGACACCTCACACCAAACATTCCCCGTTTATCTGAACTCCAACTCGAGCAGAGTTCCTCGGTTCTATCCCGCCCCCCGCCGCCGGCCCAGCAGCGGGCCCGGTGTCACTCCGAAGCCCGGGGACGTCCCGCCGCAGCGGACAGAGGACAGGGCACCGGGCGGGCCCGCGTCGCACGGAGCGCCCCTCAGGACTCACCGGGCGCCCCGCGGCGGCCTCCACCGGCCGCAAACCCCCGCCCTCCACCTCGCCGAGCCGCCGAGCCCAGCTGCGCCGCCGTAGGACCTACTTCCCTTCCCGCGACGAACGCGGCCCCCCGGCGCGCCACGTGACGTAGCCTACTTCCGGCGCGCGCTGCCTCCGGGATTGCAGTCCCCGCGGCTCGCCGGAAGTTGATGCTGCCGGTTTCCGGTGCCTTCCACAGGGGACGTCGCAGGTGGGCAGCCGGGTCGCTGCCGTTGTGGCCGGAAGTAGCGCGGCCGCGGCGGGCGGCGGGCGCGGCGATGCCCCGGTACTACGAGGACAAGCCGGAGGGCGGCGCGTGCGCGGGCGTGAAGGAGGACCTGGGCGCCTGCCTGCTGCAGTCCCGCTGTGTGCTCCAGGTAGCGGCCGCGGCGGGAGGGGCGGCGGCCGGCGGCGGGGCGGCGGCGGCCGGCGCCGCGGACCGGTTACGGGTGCCGGTGCGCACTGCAGCTCCGACTTAGTGACCCTGGACGCAGCCACCGTGGCAGCCGCGGTTCCCTCCGGCTCTAAATGGAAGCTAACGGTGCCGCCCCGTTGGGTTTTTGTGGAGATTAAACCGTTTCGGTGAAATAAGACGTTTATTGGATGCTGCCTTTTCCAGATACAGAGGGCAATCAGTTCATTGGGTGGCAACTGGAGATACAACTTCAGAAAGTTGCTGTTACTTGAACGAAAAGATAGTTATTCCCAAATTAAGGTGACCAGACGTCCCGGTTTTGGGGGGATAGTCCTGATGGTTAACAGTTTGTCCCGAGGCGTTTTAAAAAAAAATTGGACTTCTTTAAAACGCCGCGGGACAAATTGTTGAGAAGCGGGACGTCTGGTCACCTTACCCAGAACGGACTTAACCCTAAGGCTGTGCCGGTGTTCCTACTGGCTGGTGGTTCACATTTGGCTTACTACCTCTGGCGCCCGGCAGACCGTGAGACCAGTGAGTTAGGGCCAGCCTTCCTGTGCGCGCTCCCCGCCGGCTGCTGCCTCCTTCCCCGCACCTTCCTTCCCCTGCTCCGAGCAAACGCCTGGCAGTGGATCCAGATGCCGGATCCCGCGGACCCAAAACAAGGATTTCACTGCTGACACAAGCTTGGTCTGAAGGGAAGAATAGATGCTTAAGGAGCTAAATTCCTGAGATAAACGCTGTGCAGGCATTTATAATGAGTAGATTTAGAAGCAAAATACGCCGCAACCGGTTTGGCTCAGTGGTAGAGCGTCGGTCTGCGGACTGAAAGGTCCGGGGTTCGATTCCGGACAAGGGCATGTACCTTGGTTGCGGGCACATCCCCGGTGGGGGGTGTGCAGGAGACGGCTGGTCGATGTTTCTCTCTCATTGACGTTTCAGGCTCTCTATATCTCTTCCTCCCAGTAAAAAAATCAAAATATTAAAAAAAAAAAAAAAAAAAAAAAAAAAAAGCAAAATGCCTTGGGAGCCCAGTGGAGAGCGCCTTATTTTATCAGAGCATTTGGAAGTGTCTCACAGGGTGACATTTGGCCTGGGTCTTAAAGGGTTGGTTGAGTGGTTGGTGATTAAGGAAAGGAGCGGGGTCGGTGGTGGTTATGGGGTGGTTATGGGTGCAGGCAGGGAGCTGGGAGGGCAGGAGCGGCCCCGCCGGTGGTGCCTGGAGGATGGGGAAGGTGGCGGGCGGCCTGGGAAGAAGGCTGCAGTGCGGGAGGGTGGGGTCAGGGTCAGGAGGAGCTTGCGTTTTATCCTGACACCCAGCATCAGGAAGGCCAAGGAGACTGAGGAAAGCAGCTCGGGGTGTGGAGGGATTGCTGGTAGTAAAGGGAAAACCACGCTGGGTTTTGTTTTTGCAGAGATTGAATTTATTTAGCGAACTTTTGAGTGCCAAGCTCCAGGTCAGGGCACATACAGATGAATGGGACACGTTTCTCCTGTGCAGAAATGGCGCCTCTGGAGAATGAGAAAGCTGCAGGCAGAGCGCATGACCAGGACACGTGGCACAGACTTGGTCCATATTGGCCTGATTGATGCTGATTCGGCCACGGAGGAGAACCTACTGCTTATAAACAGCCCCTTAGGGAAGTGCGTTTAGTGTGTGGTAAATTCATCCTGACGGCTGCCTTCAGCTGGAGTGTCAAAGGGCCGCGCAGACCCGGGACGGGAGTCTCTCGTGATTTGGGGCGTGGGTGCCGTGCTGGGATGGGGCGTCAGATCTGCCTGGGGGAAAGTCTCTGATTATGCAGAGCAGGTGAGATTTGGGTTATTTTTCCTGGTGCATGAACACACCAGGTGTTTCTGTTTAAATAGTAAGTACTCTGTCTTATCTCATTAACATCTAGTGTTTAGCAATAACACTAAAGTTGTTCTGATTTTAGAGAACCTTAATTCTGCTATTTGAGCTTTTAAAATAACACTGAACCAGATCATTTTATCCTCAAAATTTTTTGACTCATTTTACATTGGAACTCACTTTGAGTAGGAAGATATAATGATCATTATATTGCAAAGCACTGCATAAGGCTGATGTTTATAAACAGTATATGTTCTATTTGATTAGTATTCCTTTAGTAGTAAAATAATGTAAGGTTTTGATTTTTTCCTCATGAATTGCAAATCATAGCTTGATGTCATTAAACCTCACATAATTAGAAAGTTCAAGTTCAGTCTACTTTTTCCAGATGTTTTATATATCTACTAGTAGCCCTGTGCACAAATCTGTACAGTAGGTTGCTGCCACCCTCCTGTAGCTCTCTGCCCAGTACCCCGCCCTCCCGTAGGTCCTCCCCCATAGCTGGCTTCCCTGCCCCCTCCTGTACCTCTCATGATGCCTGCTTATAGTTTGCTGCCCCACCCTCCTGCAGATCTGTGATCCAGTTGTTACACGGTCAGTCATTATGCCTCACCACATAAGGGATAATTAGCATATTCCTCTTTTATTATACAGGACTAGAGACCCAGTGCACGAGATTCGTGCATTTGAGTGGGGGTGGGGGGGACTTCAGCCCAGTCTGTGTCCTCTTGCAGTCCAGGAGCCCTTGGGGGATGGCTGACTGACGGCTTAGGCCCGCTCATCAGTCGGATGTCCTTAGTGCTGCAGCTGAGGCGGGCGAGGTTCCTGCACCACCACTGTGTTTCCAGCAGTAAGCCCGGCTCAGGGCTTCTGGCTGAGCTGCACTCCCCCTGTGGGAGCGCACTGACCACCAGGGGGCAGCTCCTGCATTGAGCGTCTACACTAGGGGTGTCGAACTCAATCAGAGAAGGGGCCAAAATCTAAAATCCAGCCTAAATCGCGGGCCGAATGGTTTACTGAACAGTCATAAACTGTCATTGTGATGGAAACGCAGCGGAGTGCAGTGATGACAGCGCGGTGCGGGCCACATTGCAAGGCCTGGCGGGACGGATTTGGCCCGCGGGCCTTGTGTTTGACACATGTGGTCTACACCCTGGTGGTCAGTGAGTGTCCTAATGACGGGTCATTCTGCCGTTCAGCCAATTTGCATATTAGCCTTTTATTATATAGGATTATTCTGTAAGGTAGGATTATATAGGATATTCCTGGTAAACTGAACCCTTCTGGCAGGTACTTCCCCCTGCTTTGCGATGCCCGTTAGCCTTTGAGTGTGTGCATCTTCTTTTCTACCTGGTATCATTGTGTAGGCAGGAGTTTCTAACTTCCCACATTCTTCTGTTTGTTTGTTTATTCTTGGTGTGTGTTTTTTTTGTTGGTTTTTTTTGTTGTTGGTTTTTTTTTTTGGTTTAGTTACTAGACAAATTATAGGATAGGACTTTCAAAAAGAAATTTTGCTGCTATTAAATTTTAATCTTGCCTTTTTGAATTGTGAAATGTGTCCAGTATATTTAAATACCTTTGTGTTAAGTTAAATTTATAGCAGATTTATTTAAAATATTTTTTGATAATGTAGAGGTAGTAGTAGTATTTTTTAAAATATATTTTATTGATTTTAGACAGGAAGGGAGAGGGAGAAAGAGAGAGAAGCATCAGTGATGAGAGAGAATCATTGATTGGCTGTCTCCCGCATGCCCCACACTGGGGATGGAGCCTGAAGCCCAGGCATGTGCCCTTGGCCGGAATCGAACCTGGGACCGTTCCGTCTGCAGGCTGATGCTCTATCCATTGAGCCAAACCAGCTCGGACAGTAGTAGGATTTTTATTCCATGCTTATCTTAAAAGAAAAATACTACTTACCTACCGTGTTTCCCTGAAAATAAGACATCCTCCAAAAATAAGTCATAGGGCATGGAAAGATAAGGCATCCCCTGAAAATAAGACCTAGCGCAACTTTGGGAGAAAAAAATAATATAAGACACTGTCTTATTTTTGGGGAAACAAGGTAGTTTGCAGTTGTTACCTTGTCAAAGCAAATTTTTAATAGTTATAGCTTGAAAAAAAAGTCTTTTTATTAAGAGTCAGAAGTGAGCATTTCTCTTGTAAACATTCTTATAACAGCATCATGTCTTTGATGGCAAAAGGGAATGATGATTTAATCCAGTTTTCTGTGTAACCTCCTTTGGAGCTTTCATTGTTTAAAGATGAGTTAATTCACGTGAGGCCAGGCAGATCTTCTCTCACAAGCACGTGCCAGTTCTGCTCATAGCTCCCTTCCTCTTCAGTCCTCACTCAGATGAGCTGCCCAGAACAGAGGGCCTGGCATGGGGGCAGGAGGGGGGAAATGCAGGGATGTGTTGTGGCACCAAAGATGGCTTGCATCACATTCACCAGATGCCTGATCTGTCACATGCATTTGTTCTCTCTCTCTCTCCCCTTCTCTTTCCCCCTCTCTCCCTCTCTCTCTCCTTCTCTCTCTCCCTCCCTCCCACCCTTCCTCCCTTCCCTCTACACACACTCTCTTGTCTTTAGTTCTTGTCTTAGTTTTAAGAACAATGAAGAAACCATTATTCCTTTCACTTTTACTCCTTTTCTTATCCATAGGAGCAGGAGATACCAGTTTCTAGATTTGTACACGAACATTTGTTTAAAAGTATCCTGTGGAAACGAGTGTTTTCAAGACCTCAAGTCCCCCCTAAGCCCCCCCCCCCCCAAGTGCTCAGAATTAGTTTACCCTTTTTAAAAAATTCTGGTCTTTTCTCCTTTAAGCAATAGTCAAAATGAATTATGAACTGTTTCTTACATAAATTACTATTTTCATTTGCTTTTTAAAAAAGAACTGTTTTCAGAAGGGCCGTTATTTTGTAGTTTCTGAGGCAACTTCCAAGTACTAACATTGTTTTGTTTGTCATAGGAAGGAAAATCCCCTCGGCAGTGTCTGAAGGAAGGAAACTGCAAAGCTTTGAAAAATTCATTTTTTGAATGTAAACGATCAATGGTAAGAAAATATTTTTAAAAGCTCACATTAAAAACTAGCTGTGTAGAATTAAATACGTGAGTGACTCGTATTTCGTCATTGGTGGTAGTGACGTTATTTGGAACTCGAGGGAGGGAGCAATGTGAGGTGGCGTTCATGAAAACCCACAGCTGACTGCTGCTCTGCCACTACGCACTGTAGCTGCTGACCTTTGCGAATTTCTGAAGTGTGCAAATGAAGTCTTGGCAAGTACAATGTAAAGTGGTAATTCACTCTTAGTCCTCCAGGAAAAGACTACTGTCACACTTCACTAATGCAACTTCAATTATATATGCTTAGGAAAAACCTGAGACAATTAAATTGTGCTGGTAATTTTACTTTGTATTTCAAACAGTGAGTGTAGGACTCAGAATGAAGCTTAGATGGGAAGTTTGAATTATCTTTCGCTCATAGTACAAAGCATTTTATCCTGATTATGATTCCCACGTTTAAAAATTATTCATTTTTTGAAAATATGGCTCAGCTTCATGTAGTGATCAGATGAAACGGCTGGCTGTCCCACATTGTTCTGTTGGGCTCATTGGTAGGGTGTGTCTGTAAGGTAATTGCTCCCTGTAGCTTCTGGGGAGTGATCCTGACAGCCTGGGCAGGTCTGCCTTATGTACTGACTGCTCTTCCCCCTCCTCCTCCCCCCATGGGGCTACACTGAGGGGCTAAGCCTGTCACCAAACGAGTAGGTAACTGAGGGTTTTTAATCCCCAAATGGCTGTGTTACTGATTTTTCAAGGCTCCTCTTTTTTCAGTTGCTATTTAAAGATTTCAGATACATTTGGATATTAACCTAAACAAAACTTAATTAGAAAATAGTTTGTTAGAACAACATATATTGAAATTAATTCAGAGAAAAAGATAAATGTAATTTGTAGACTACTTGAGAACAAAATCCTTATTGTGACCTTAAATGGAACTTCTTTCTTAATCCCATCTTTAATATTTTGGTTTCTTTGTGAGGTTTTATGGTAGTTCTGACAATTGCCTTTTAAAAAAAAAATTCTAGTCTTTAATTATTCTGTTTCTCCTTCATTCTACTATCTTTAGGTTTAATTTGTCCTTTTTCTAAAGCTTTAAGATAAACACTTAGCTCACTTGTTCTTCAGTCTTTTTGCATATATGCATTTGTATTAAACTAGAGGCTCGATGCACGAAATTCATGCAAGAGGGGGCCTTCCTTCCCCCACTGCCGGCACCAACTTCCCTCTGGCACCTGGGACCCGGCTTCCCTCTGGCTGCCGGCAGACACCAGGACCCAAGCTTCCCTTGCCACCGGCTTTGTCCAGAAGAACGTCCAGTCTAATTAGCATATTTTATTATTATAGATGTCCAGAATAGACAAATCTACAGCAACACAAAGATTAACAGTTGTTAGTGCAGGTGAAGGGGGAAGGAGGATTGGAAAGTGATTTCGGTGATGGTTGAGTATGCTAAAAACTTGTGAATTGTACATTTAAAATGAGTCAGTTGTATTGTTGGCAGGAAATGGCACCAGGCATTGGAGCAACCTTGGTATATGAGTTCTGGCTAAGAAAGAATTCAGACACAAGACTGACTATAAGGGAAAGTTTATTTAGAAAGTCACGGAGGGCGAAGTGAGCCATAAAAGGAATGGGCTCAGGAAAGGAGGTCGGAGGCAACAGGACCCTGGATCACAGGAGGAAGAGAGGCCAGGACAATGCCGGGGGAGTGGGGAGAGGCACCGGCGCTCCATAGAAAGAGCTTTGACAATTGTCTTTTTAATTGTGCCGAAACTGGTTTACTTCTCTCCAGTAGTGATGCCCTTTAGCAAACCTGTATTTAATTATGTACAATATTTGATTTAATTGTACATTTATTTTCAGTTGGATGCCAGATCAAGATTCAGAGGAAGAAAAGGATATTGATAACTATTCTGTGGAAACCAAGATGAATACAACAAGGATTTCCCCTGGTCATTAAAACACAGAAGCCAAAGTTGAAAACGTATTTTTTCTTACATCTGTTTGGTTGGACCATGGAGCACTGGAGAGAATGCATGATTTCTGTTCTTAATATTTATAAATAATTTTATTCTGAGTTATTTTTAGAAGAAAATTTTAATTGACCAGTTACGAGCAAGGGAGAATAAATGCGTTTTAAAGGCCCTAGCCAGTGCACTCAATGGTTAGGGTCCGCTTTCGGACCCGAGGACCACAGGTTCTATCTTGGTCAAGGGGATACCTTGGAAGGGGCACAGGTGGGAGGCAACCTCTTGTGTGTGTCTCCCTCTCTGTAGCCCCACCCCCTTCTACTATCTGATCAACAAGGGAAAAATATCCTCAAGTGAGGATTAACAACAACAAAATTGTTTTAAAGCACAAAGATTATTTTCAAACATGATTCAACCAAATGACACGCTTTGTACACATCCTTTGTGAATATTCTGAAGGCCACTAATGGGACTGTTAAATCGATCACGTGGAAAAAATGTCTCCTGGGGGAGTTTAGGATAAAACTGTCTTTTATTTATCTGTCTTGGTTAGTTATAAAATAAATTGGTTTGAGTTCTTGGAGAAGAAATGCTTCGTTTGCACTGATTCACTGACTTAACAGCCTCATAACCTTAACATCACACGTCAGGCACCGCTGGCTGCTGTAGCCCGGGCTCTGCCCTCGCTGGGCTGTTTGTTTCCTGGCTTCATTTTCAGGCTGGCCCTTTCTCCAGCTGGGAAAGAGGTCAGTGTCAACCAAAAGCACACCTCCTTCATAGCCAGGATCCACAAAGGAGAGAGAAAACTTCCTCCCTTAGCTGCCAGGAGTCACATTCTACAGAAGCGCTACTGTCTTCCCTGGTCACTGCCCCTGGATTAGAGCAGTTCCCGCGGGAAGAGGAACAGGGCCGGGATCTCACATTTCCCACGAGGACCACAGTGGACGGGTGACGGGCCTCACCCCAAAGCGGAGGAGGATTCCGCACAAACTGAAAAAGACGAGCTCACTATGGAAAGCTAGAGTGGAAACGAGATGCTTGAAAAAGTTTACAATCAGTGACTTTATTCAGATCACAATACAGTACAGGGCTGTACTGTATAATAAAGTTTTCAACTTCATTTTCAGTGTTGAAGAAAAATGAGCCACATCTTCATAACATCCACAGGCCATCAGTTAAAGCAGGCAAGGTGTTCAATAGCTTGTTTTCCTCTGTGGATGTTCACCTACAGTGGGAACTCCATGCCAGCACCAGTCCCTGCAGAATCCCAGAGGTCTAGTGTGTGTACTGCTTTCACTGAGAACGGGGAAATGCTGGATTTTTTTTCAATTCTTGTGTAACTAAGTGCTATAACTTTTATTAAAAGGAACGTTGATAAAATTATGTGACAGTTTTATTGAGAAGTTCATCGGGAGAAATTCACATGTAATGCAGTTACCTGTGCCCTGGCCAGTGTGGCTCTGTTGGTTGGTTGGGTGTGATCGCTTGCACCAAAGGTTGAAAGGTTGCAGGTTCAGTTCCTAGTCAGGGCATATGCCAGGGCTGCAGGTTCAATCCCCGATAGGTGGTGTGCAGGAGACATCTGATTGATGATGTTTCTCTCCCTCTCTCAAAATTTAAAAAAAAACTTTAAAAAAATATTACCCTTGAAGTATATACAATTGAGTGCTTTTTGTCACAGAGTTGTGTAACCATTACCATTAATTCCAGAACATTTTCATCTCCAAAAAGAAACCCCATACCCATTAGCAGTTACTCCCCATTCCCCACTTTCCCCCACTTCCAATAACCATTAATAACTGTCTATAGTGAAAAAAAAATAAAAAAACTCTATAGATTTGCCTATATCAAATAATATGTGGTCTTTTTTGACTGACTTCTTTCACTGTTTTCAAGGCTGTAGTATTTGTACTTTACTAAGATTCACTGCAAAATAATATTCCACATTTTACTTATCTATTCATTAGCTGATGGACTTTAGGTTGTTTGCACTTTGAGGTTATTATGACTAGAGGCCTGATGCATGAAATTTGTGCATGGGGGGGGGGGGGGGGCTCAGCCCAGCCCAGCCTGCTCCAATCTGGGAACCTTGGATTATCAAAAATATTTCTGATACTTCTATTAGTAACTATATAGTAACTACATAATGTAAAATTTATCAACTTAACCATTTTTAAGTATATAGTTCAGTAGTGTTAAATATATTCACTTTTTCATCTTACAGAACTGAAATTTTATACCCATTAAACAACTCCCCATTACCTTTTCTCTCCATCCCTGGCAGCCACCATCTACTGCTAGTGAGCATCTTTTCATCATTTAATGTTTTGTTGGCCATTAGAAAATCATCTTTGGAGAAATGGCTGCTCAAGTTTTTTGCCCATTTTTATTTTATTATTATTTTTAATATATTTTATTGATTTTGTACAGAGAGGAAGGGAGAGAGATAGTTAGAAACATCGATGAGAGAGTCATTGATCAGCTGCCTCTTGCACACCCCCTACTGGGGATATGCCCGCAACCAAGGTACACCCTTGACCGGAATCGAACCTGGGACCCTTCAGTCCCCAAGCCGTCGCTCTATCCATTGAGCCAAACCAGTCTCGGCTTTTTGCCCATTTTTAAATAGGGCTGTTTCTTTTGCTGCGGAGTTCCAGGAGTTCTTTGTATATCAGTCCTTTTCCAGATAGATGATTTGCAAATATTTTCTCCCATTTCTTTTCACTCTGTTGGTTGTATTTGATGCATAGTTTTAAATTCGATGTAGTCCAGTTTATGTTTTTACTTCTGTAGCCTGTGCTTTTGGTGTCATAGCCAAAAATCATTGCCCAATCTAATTAAGTTCTTCCCTTACGTTTTATTCTAATTGTATTAGTTTCAGTTCTTATGTTTAGTTCTTTGATCTAGTTTGAGTTGACTTATAAAAAAAATATTTTTATTGATTTCAGAGAGGAAGAGAGGGAGGAAGAGAAACATCAATGATGAGAACCATGGGTTGGCTGCCTCCTGCACACCCCCTACTGGGGATGGAGCCCACAATTTGGGCGTGTGCCCTGGACCAAGTCCCCAGGCCGATGCTGTATTCACTGAGCCTAACCAGCTAGAGCTTTGTTGACTTTTGTATACAAATGGTGTAAGGTCTAATTTCATTCTTTTGCATATGATACCCTGTTTTCCCCAACATCGTTTGTTGAAAAGACTGTCCTTTCCTCTCTGAATGTTCTTGGCATTATTGAAGACCATTTGTCTGTATATGCCAGGGTTTATTTCTGGCTTTATGCCATTATCACACTGTTTTGATTACTAGAGCTTTGTAATAAGTTTTTAAATCAGAAAGTATAAGTCCTCCAACTTTGTTATTTTTCAGGATTGTTTTTACTATTCAGAGTCCCTAGAGCTTCCATATGAATTTTAGGATGGATTTTTCTGTTTCTGCAGAAAACACCATTTGAATTTTGATAGGGATTAATTGAACGTATGTAAGACTTTGGAGAGTATTGGCATCTTAGTGTGCAGTGTGCTAATCCGTTTACATGAGAGGACTTTTCATCTATTGGTGTTTTCTTTAATTTCTTTTAGCAACATTAGGTTTATTAGTATTTCTAAGTATCTCATTCTTTTTTGTGTGATTGCAAATGGAATTGATTTCTTAATTTTCTTCTTAGGTTTGGGAGATGGGTCAAGTTTTTATAATTTTACCGGGAAATATAATAGACATACAGAAAAATACATCGGACATTTGTATAATATTAACTAATAGCTAAATCATCATGGCACTACCATCCAGGCAAACAGACATTGAATGAACCCCCTGACTTTCCTCAGAGGCCGCCTGCTCACCCCGGGGAGAAAAACCACTGTTCTGGTGTTTGCCAGCCTCTGCTCCTGAGTTCTCCTTCTTTCTTGAGCTTGTTGCATTTGGCTCCTTGTGAGGTTTTAGAATACAGTCCCCCTTGTCCAGGAGGTGCCTTAAACTGTGGATAGTACTGAGTCCTATATATGTTTTTTCTTATACATACATACCTGTGATAAATGTATAAATTATGCAAAGTAAGATTAATAATTAACTAAAATGGGACAATTACAACAATATGCTGTAATAAAAGTTATGTGTATGTGGTCTCTCCAAATATCTTACTGTACTTACCCTTCTTGTGAGCTATAATCTCGGAAAATGAAACCCTGGACGTGGGTACTGCTGTAACATTACAGCCCTCCACCCGAGAAAGTAACGTGATCTAGTGCTGAAATAGGAATTACTTTGATTGAACACCAAAGAGAATTCATTTATCCATCTATTCATCCCATAAACCTTTCTGAGTAGCTCCTTTGCAAAAGTCATTACATTTGCTGTTTGAACACAGAGCAACATGCTAGACAAAATTAAAGGTAAGTTAGCACGATGGATAGGATATAAATGATATAATGGTCATATATATTAAAAATTATATGAGGGAAAATATTTTCCTAAAAGGCCCCTCATTCTGTGGTGAGAAATTGCCACAAGAAAGGCCTTGGAGAAATGAGAAGCCTGAGTGATGGTCCAGATCAGAGAGAACATGGGCATGGACCTGGGCTGTGTGCATGGAATTATGGGTAGGTTGAAGTGATACAGATCTTAGTGGCTGTTGGGATGTGTTGGGCAAGGGAGAAGATGACCTCAGAGTGGAAGGCAGGGTCATTTATTGGGAAGGCTCAGCCTGCTTGGAGGAGGATGCAGGGATGTGGCGTTGACAGACTGTTGGAGACACTCGTGTGTTGGTGTTGGTGGATCTGGACCTAGAGGCCCAGGGGGACCTAGAGGTTTGGGAATCATCGCATATAATTGGTCATATGTTCCATAGGAATAGATGAGGCTTTTCCAGGAAAGCATTCGGTGCAAAGAAAGTTAAGGACAGAAACCTAGGGAATACCATGCCAGTGGTGGGTGGAGGCTGACAAGCAAATCAGTGAGGAGGGACGGTAAGAGGTAGGGAGAGAGGCACAGAGCCAAGGGATGGCGAGTGCAGGAAGCCATGGAATGCTGTTTCTACATCCATCTCGCTAATAGAGATGTCTTGCCCTAGCCAGTGGGTGGATAGAGCATCAGCCTGCAGACCAAAGGGTCCCAGGTTCGATTCCGGTCAAGGGCACGTACCTTGGTTGCGGGCTCCTCCCCACCCCAGGCCCTGGTTGGGCTTGTGCAAGAGGCAACCAATCGATGAGTTTCTCTCACATTGATGTTTCTGTCTTTCCCACTCTCTTCCACTCTCCCTAAAAATCAATGGAAAATATCCTCAGGGGAGGAATAACAACAACAAAAAAGTTCTCTCTCACTGTGGAAATTCCCAGCGTCTCAGTTTTCTTTCCCTTTGTTACATGATACAATAATGTCAGCACCTTAAGGTCTGTGTTTGAATGCAGGCCTGCCAAAAAGGAGCTGGGAGCCTGTGCCGGAGGAATCCTGGCAGAGACACTGCCGAGGCACAAAGGGAGTGGAGAGGTTTGCAGTGTGACCATCCTTCCCTCCACGCCCCGGGCTGTCCTCGCTTGGGGAGTGACAACTGGAATAACAGCAGAGCTCCTGCCCATTTGCCAAATCTCGGCGAGGAGGGGGCGGGGCTTCTGCCGGCAGAAAGGGACTGATGTCCCTCCCCTTCAGTGAAGTCAGGGCTTGTTTTCAAAACAAGCATAAAAAGGTATAACTGACTACATACGAATCTAAAACTTCTCTATACCCATACCGTAAAGCTAAAAGACACTCACTACTAGGGCTTAAAACCTGGCAACGTGACAGACGGATGTGCAGTCTTGTATCTCACAATCCATAAAATGACCACCACTCCAAGGTCACAAAGTAGAGCTATACAAGCAGAAGTATAGAGGATGTTCAGTTTTCACAGTAACCAAAGACACCGAACTTGAAACCAGATGCCATTTTTAACATCAGCAATGATAGAAGGAACAGGCACCTGCTACAGGTGGGAAGCCTGACTTCCTGGGAATAACCAGGCGAACCTCATCTTCCTGGGCCTCGCATACTCCGTGTTTTTACAGACTGAAGCAAGACCCTCCACCAGCAGAGACTATGAATTGCCAAAGGCCCAGATGATGGTCAGCATTCTTTAACAATAAAGTAATTTTTAATTAAGGTAAACACGTTAGTTTTTAGACATAATGCTATTGCGCACCTAATGGATTACAGTACAGTATGAACATTTATCTGCAGTGGTAAGCCATACAGTTTGTGTGACATGCTTTATTGTGACAGTCACTTCACTGTGGTTGTCTGGGACCCAAATGGCAACATCCCTGGGTAGGCCTGTATGAAAAATTCAAAACTTTAAAACATTTACACTGTCCTTTAACTGTACATTTCTACCGTCAGGAACTTATCCAAGGGAAGTCACTGGGGAAGTGTCTAAAAACAGGTACCAGACGTGGTCCTGGTTATAAGGAACAAACAAACCATCAATGAAACATCTCAACAAGGGCTGCCGCAGGCCAGGCACCCGCGGAGACGTGACCGAGTCAGTGGCGTGGCCAGGAACTAACCTGCGCACAAAGCCAAGCCCCGGGCCGCTCCCTACTGTGAGGGACGGACTGTGCCCATCCCTTCCACGGAGGAAGCAGAGCCAAGGAGGGACAGCAGGATTGGCACCTGGTCTGTGAAGTGGACATCATGCTCTTAGCCCCACCAGGGAAGTGAAAACGGTCGTAAAACGAGTCTCCTGGGCCTGTTCACAAACATGGAAGCACGCGATGCAACGCCCACTAATAATCGTCCAATCAGACGCCACCGGAGAGCCAGTCCTCCGAATGCAACAGAATGAACCAGGCACGGCCAAGTGTAACGTTCTCGTCAGGTATTTATTATCCTAAAGACTAGCACATTTACAGCATACATGGCTTTGAATGAGCTAAGAATATATAAAACGGTACATGTTTACATATATATATATATATATATATATATATTAATACTGGCCAAAACAAATAAATAGAAGTACTTTAGTGCACCAAGCTTGGCAAATATACCTGTGCAGGGGCAAAACTGTACTACACAATGTCCACGTGTTTTAGAGGAAACCAAAGGCAACGGCTGCGGTGCCGACACCCACAGCGCCCCGGTGCTCAGCTCTCAGTGCTTCCTGTCCGGCGGAACCTCTGTTCTGTGGTGACCATGAGACCGCCTTCCTGTGCAGCTGGGGGCCAAGCTCCTGGGCGCCCCAGGCTGCCGCCCGGCAGCGGCCTCGCTCGGGGCCTCGCTCCGCGGCCGGAGTGGGGCGGTGCCGGAGGCTGGCCGCTCCGGAGGCAGCCGCGGCAGGGCTCAGGCAGGATTCTGCAGCCTGAGCGTTTCCCACATGGTTAGCCAAGTCTTCGAGTGTTATGATGTACATGATATGAGGCCAAATTGGAAAATAACCCATAAAAAGGTGACCCATGCAAAACTGCTAACAGTTGACTCAACATCTGCTATATTCCCTTTTGGTAAATGAAGGCATTTAATGCTCTTCAGACAGCAACAACAGAAATGTGGGTGGCATTTAATTTAAGAAGACAAGGGAATATTTTAAACGGTAGTGATGATAAAATAAAAAAGATGAAAATATAAAAGATACTAGAAAAATTACAAAAAGAATGAAGCGGTGAGAGGTAAAGGCTAAGTCAGCCACGTTGGAAACTGAACAGGGATGGGCCCGGGAGAGCCTGCCCGGCCCCCCTCCGCGGTGGGCACAGCGGTGTGGGCTCTGACAGCGCGTGAGCTGCAGCTGCCCTCTGGGCCGTCCTCCACACCAGGTCCCATTCGCCAGCGGCCGCCCCTCCCGGAGCCTCGGGAGACAGCAGGCTGTCTGCGCACTGGCTTCCCGGGGGGAAGGGACCGGGAAGGCCATCGGCCGGCACCCTCCCTGCTGCTCTCCCCTGGGTCCCTGCCACGGGCACTCTGGCTTGTGCCTCAGGTCCCAGGCCCAAGTGCCCCATGTTTCCAAGTGGCATTTCTTAGACACAGGGACTTCCTGAGGGTGCACCAGTCATCGGGATCAACATCATCACCGTGTCTCATGTATTTCCTTTACAGCCTTTTAAATAACATATAAACATAATCACAATAAACAATTGAAAAAACATTTAAACCGAGGAAAAACTTTGCTATGTGCAGATAAGACTCATCATCTTATAATAGATGGCCAGACATCATTTTCTATGAAATCCCTGTTTTATGGCCCATTAATCCCTTTCAAAATCTCATTTTCAGAGCTAATTTCAACTTTCTCAATAGTCACCTTTCATAACAGAATGAGAAGATAGTAACAATTATTGCAAACTTAAAAGTCACTTTCATCAGACCTTCAAACATGATTGTATGGTTTTTTTAGAAGACAATTGGGAAACCCACCAAAGGAAGTCTGTTCTGAAAAGATTTAGGCTTCCACTGTCTACACATAACCCCCACTGCTGAGAGGCCCTGGCCCCGGGGAGGGCACCCGGGGAGGGCACCCCGGGGAGGGGCACCCCGGGGAGGGCACCTGCACCGGGCAGGGTGGGCCGGACGCGCAGGCTGAGAGGGCAGGCAGGCAGCTGGCTCCCTGCTCCCAAGCTCACACCGTGCCAGACCTCGGCGGAACAGAAGCACCACCCGTGTGAGCGCGCGGCTGGCACCTGTCCTCTTCCATCAGGCCCGTCTGCTGCTTCTCAGCCTGCGCTCTGGCCCCACCTGTGCCCTCAGGGTCATTCCGAGCCACCTGCTCTCCCCTCTCCCCAAACTGGAATTCACATCTAACACTTACTGTCTGTCCAGGACCCAACTGTTTGTTTGCTATTTGTTGTTTTACATTCAGGTTTATAAGTAGATTGTAATTCGATGCTCAATTTTGAGTTACTTAGTAGAAAAATAAGTGAGCAGCTGCCTGCGGGGCATTTAAAACGCCTCAGCGTCTCAGGCCTGCCGAGCTGGCGCCCCACCGGTGAGGATCACCACGTCTCTCTGTGGAGCTCTGGCTGCAGGCGGGTAAATGGGCAGTTGTTACTATCCACACTATTGACCAACATTACCTCCTACTAATTCCAACCGAGTAAAAACATGCTTCATAGACGCTTTAGTGAATATCTTTTAAAAAACACAAAGTAAAAACCAGTCCCCAGGTCTTCGTGAAGAACAGGAATGACACTAGAGGGCACCCACAGGCTCTAAACAGCTAAGGAGAGGACACGCGTGTTCAAGTTTCAACCTTGCCGTAAGTCCCTTCGGGAGGCCTGTAATGCTTGGGGAAAGCCTTCAGCTGCAGGGAATTAAACGCATATTTGCGACTTCCAACATTCTTCATTGTATTTTCTCTTCGACAACCCTCACTGGGGAAAAAAACAAGCACAAGAAATGACAGCAGTAAAAAAGGAACAAAAGAAAAGACTTAAACTAAGATGAAATGAACTGATTATTTTTATAGCATTAAAAAAAAGGTTAATTAAATGGGTGCCGGACTATTGCAACAATACACACGTAGATGGTTTCTGAACAAGGCAGTTAAGAAGCACAGCGATGGGCGCTTGTGGGGGGCCGAGTCTTGCATTTGCGAAAGCAGCACTGTAAGTGGCAGCACACACTTTTTTATGGTTAATGGTTTCCTGTGTTTCACGTCTAGTATTTCGTGGTTCTGTGGTGGTTCAGTCTGTTACATAAGTTAAATGAAAATGTAGTGTGACTCTTACCAAAGCCTTTAAGAAGCAACATCTTTCTATTTAGCAAAGCCAGGGGCTGAGAAGGCCGTCCCACCGGCTGTCCCCTAAGAGCAAAGCACCGTCCGGTGGCCCCGGCGGCTGCCTGGCCGGTCTGAATGGCTGTCAGGGCTGGAGTGTGGAGGAGGGACCCCCACGTCCCTGGTGGCAGCCGGACCCCTTCCCCCGGGGGCTGCCCTCAGAGGAGTGCCAGAGCGAGTGAGAGCCCGCAGGCGCCCTTTCGTAGAGAAATGGTGCTGCATTTGGTGGGGGTTGTCTTGGTAACCCAGTGTGCAAAGCAAATGCAGACAAGAGGATGAGGTTGGCAGTCAGGCCTCATGGTCCCGAAGGAGAGCATCGGGAATTCTCTGGGAAGTGTTCACCAAATTAACAGGTAAAAGCAATTCTGGATAGAAAGACTTTCTACAGCACAGTCTATTTTTGTATTTTCTAAGACTAGCGATTAAACCAACTAGTTATCAAATTTAGTACAAAACTCCCTTATGAGATGTAAAATTTGCAGTTACCAAGAAACAGTGAGTTTAAAAAAATATTTCCAATCATAGCAACACCATTATATCATGCATTTAAGAAAATATGTTATTGGAAAGTGCCTGAGCCTTTTAAAGTGAAAAAGACATTCTCATTTTCAAGAACGTGAAATATTTTAGGTGAGACTGTAATTTTATGCGGAAGATAAGCATGGGTATTTCAGAAAAGTAGTCCCCTGCTTGTGATTAAGTACCTTAGTCACTCAGACATGCTTCCCTGGCCCCAGGCCTCCGGGCCTCAGAGAGAGGACACAGGAGGCCAGGAGGCCCCGGAGAAAGCGATGGCCGAGTGTATCTACATCCAATAACCAGGTGAGAGTTAATCCCATTGGAGCAGAAGCTTCAAGGTCTACACCTGGCCGGTCTGAATGCGGAGGCTGCTGCGGAGGCCGGAGCCCGGCTTCTGGCTGAGCCCTGCTCCCCGCGGGAGGGAGTGCACTGACCACCAGGGGGCAGCTCGTGTGTTGAGTGTCTGCCCTCTGGTGGTCAGTGCAGGTCATAAGGACCTGTCTTCGCTGTTGGGTCCATTTGCATATGAGCCAATTATTAGATAGGATGTGCATACTTCTCAGAAGCCATCCATCAGGAATCAATGCCAAACTGCTTTGGGGGAGTGAAGAACAATTTGGGAACTTGGACATTATCTTTTATTTATATGTTAAAGGAGCTAATACTGGCCGAAACCGGTTTGGCTCAGTGGATAGAGCATCAGCCCGCAGACTGAAAGGTCCCAGGTTCGATTCCAGTCAAGGGCATGTACCTTAGTTGCAGGCGCATCCCCAGTAGGGGTTGTGCAAGAGGCAGCTGATCTATGATTCTCTCTCATCGATGTTTCTAACTCTCTATCCTTCTCTCTTCCTCTCTGTAAAAAATCAATAAAATATATTAAAGAAGCTAATACTGGCTTAAGTGGCTGGATGGATTGGGCCTTAAGCTTTGTTTTGGAGAGCAGCTATTTAAATGAAAAATCAGAATGGAACCGAGACACAGCTCTGGTTCCCCTCCCGTGGGCCCCACCTCTCAGGTGGGGGATGCCGCGTCTCAGGGCCCTGACACCGCCTGCCGTGCCAGGCCCCAGCCTCCCTTTAGAAGCAACCGCTCAGCGACGCCCTTCCTGAGCCTTCCCTGCTCATCCCGCCTGCTTCCCACTGAAGCAGGGGAGCCCAGACAGGTGTGCGGCCCGATTTAACGAGTAAAAGGCCTTCCTGAGGTTGAAACCCAGTATGAAGGTGGGCACACCAAGTCTCTCTTCTCAGCTATTCTGCCCAAAGCCAACAGGCCACAGCCTGGGCTGTGCTGGCCCCCATGACTCGAGTGACAATGTGCTGGCTTTGGACTGGGCCCGGGAGAGCAAAACAAAGGACCACAAAGAACCGTACCCTCTCCCCCTCCCATCCCCATCCTCACCTAAAGCCCAGCCCACTGCAGCCGGAAGCAGCCGGCCCCACCCACCTCTGGGCTTCTGCTGCAGCATGGCCCCCTGCTCTGCGGGGGTCCCCAGGGCGTCCATCGAGAGTCACAGACAATGGAGGAGGCCCAGGGAAGAGGACAGGCTGTGCAGTCAGAGGTGAGCGCCAGTGCGCGTCACCCAGGGCATGGCCAATCTCTCCCCAGAGCTGTGCCCGGGAGGCCGTGGGGACAGCCTGTGTGGGCTCCACCTTCCCGCCTCCACGTAAAGCGAACCAGAGTCACGTACGCCACAAGCAGGAGAGCAAGCGGGAAGGTCCTCCCCACGGGTGAATCAGTCCTCCTGCATTCGCTCCTGCTAACTGCTTCTGCGACCCCTAGAACCCAGACTCAGGTCTGATGCCAAAACAGGGAAGCCCCAGGATAAGTTCTGGAAGTCTGGGAGACGGATGGAGAGGCCAGACTGGGTTTGTGTGCATGTGTGAGTGCAAAGTTTCTGGAAAAGCCAGTTTTTCTAGATGGGTAAAATACAAAAACCATTTTCATAAAGGACAGTGTGGGGAGCCAGCCAGAGGTCAAAACCAGATCACACCACCATCTGAGCTGCAGACAGAAGCTCTGGCATTGCTCCTGAGGCCTGTGGAATGCTCTGTTACCATCACAGGGGCACCACTCCTGCCAGTGTGGATGTTAAGTCTCCCCAATTTATGGACAGGGCCTTCTTAAAATTAGGAGCGATAATAACAGAAACCAAAGTAACTCCTCTCTCACAGCTCCATCTGGCACAACTCTCCGAAAGTCAAGCCTCATTTTTGGGTCATTTTTCTTTGATGTTTGGTTTTTACATTATTAACTACATTTGATTTCTGGAGAGAAAAGATGTCTGGACTTTAATCCAAATACCAAGCTCTTTAAAATGAAAAATGCTATTTCAAGGGAAATGAACGTGTCTAACTCTAACAGCCTTTCATTACTCTATGCATTAGTTCCTGTAATTGCTTTTACGGTCTATCAGGATGTAGAAGAGTACATAGAAAGCCACATGCAATGTTATTTTGTGTGCCTCATTCGGTACAATGTGCTACTGTGTTCACAGCTTCTGTCATCTCACACTGGAAATAATAAACATGAGCAGGGAAATGTTATGATTCTGCCAGCTGTCTGCTCTGGAACGTAAGGGCTGTGTCTGAAGTGAAAGCAGGAAGGCCATGTCCCATTAAAGAGGCTCACACGGAGGACCAGTTACAAAGCATCTGCCGTCCTCATTTCTCTTCAAAAGGCAAGGGAAGGTCACGGCACATGTAAGGAATAGTATCAAATATACAAATTCTTCTCAGACAGAATTCCTTTCTCTTGGAAACAGGGCATGTGAGAGATACAGGTAACAAACAGCTTTACATCAGAAAATAAGAGATAGTACAGGTGATCACAGGCCAGCCGCACAGTGCAGGCACAGGCGCCGTGAGAACATGGTACAGCACTGACACTATAGGAGTTAAACAAACGAGTCCTCTGGGTGAAGTAATTCGGCAGGTATCACAGTTCCCAACAACCAACGGCAAACCGTAAGGCATGAATCTCTCCCGGCAGACCACGCTCTGACATCCCTCTGTCCAGGTAGGTGCCCGGTGGTGGGACATACTCTGGCACTTTGGTTGTCTTGTGACTAACTTTTCATAATGACATTCATTTGCAACGCAATTTGGCCACCAGGTACGCTAAGCTCAGGAAGAGCCACACAATCAGTAAATTGGGGCTCAGCGCTAGCAGCGGGATGGAACAGAGCAGGCTGGGGTCTAGCCTTAAGTCTCGGATGGGCACCAGGCCGCTCAAGTTCTTCTGGGTGACTACCTCCCGTGTTCCAATGCTGTGAAAAGGAAAAGGTTTGGGAGAAAGGAAAAGAAAAAAGGAAAAGAAATAAAGAAAAAAGAGACACACATGCAATGGATTTTATCAAAGTTATGGGAAAAAGAGGAGAACCGAAAGATAAAATTAAAAAAAAAAAAAAAAAGGGGATGAAACCACAACAGAAAAGGTGTGAAAGAGATACCAAAACAAAACCAGCACAGTTACAAGAAAAAGGAGAGAAAGAGAAGTGGAAATAAGAAAAAGTACTGTAGTCTACCGAAACACACACGTAGGCAGACGGAATGGTTTTCCATGTTCACGCTCAGCTGCCCGGCACATGCGGCCTGCCATGCGCTCACATGCTGCGAAGACATGGACCTCAAACAGCAAGCTGAGCATGAAGAACCATTGGGTGACCTTCCCACAGGTGCTGAGCTTGCCCACGCTGCCTCTTGATGCGCGAGCGGTTCAGACAAAACCACTTACCTCGAGTGCCAACCGCAGGCAGAGCCCGCGTCCGCGCCCGCGTGACAGCCCGCAGGCAGGGACGCAGTGGCAGCCCCCGAGGACCCGCAGGGAGGGGGCGGGCCAGGCGCCCTGGCTCTCCCAGAGGCAGCAGAAGCCGGGCTGGCCCTGCGGGATGTGCCCTCTGGCAGGCACACCTGGGGCTGCGGGCACCAGCGGACAGTCCCCCGCCCAGCCCGGGCAGGCCACGTGGGAAGGCCCTGTGTGAGGGCTGCAAGGGGGCTGGAGGCAGAGGGGCCACCAGCAACGGACACATCGCTCCCACCGCCTGTCCCATGGCGTCCCGTGACGGCTTGAATATTTATGTCCCCCAAACTGGCACACTTTGAGAGCTGGCTGCTCACATTTGGTAGCATGGCACTGCCACCAGCCACCCTGGGCCTCGAGGAGGTGCCCCCCCGGCCTGCTCACTGCCCTTTCCCGCCTGGTCCCGTATCAGGGAGAGAGCAGGGACCCCAAACCCACTCCTTCACTTGGGGCTGTGGCCCCTGCTGCCGCTGCCTGCACAGGGTGCTCAGGCCTGGCCGCCTCTGCAGCCAGAAATAGCGGCTGAGGACTCAGTCCCCTTGGCTTCTAGTGTGTGAACACACATCTTCCCACACGATAAAGCAGGAAACACGGAAGCCACATGTAACAAATGCATGTGGCCAGAGCCCCAGGTGCCACCAGGCAGGTGGACAGGCTGCAGGTGCTGGGGCTGAGGATTCTGGGGGGAGCGGAGGCAACATGGGATGGAGTGTTGTTTTTACTAACTTCTTAAATAGTTATTATGGTCATTTATGTTCCCTGTAGAGATGTTAGGAAATTCAGAGAAATATAAACAAGAAGACAAACATCACTGGAGGCGGTGGGGTCTAAGGGGCAGGAGGCAGGAGGCCTTCCCTGCTCAGGCCTGGGCCTCACTGCGAGGAGAGAACAGGCGGCCTGGCTGCAGCCCCTCAGAAAGGGGGAGGGAGGGGTAACAGCCCCGGGGAGGGAGTGCCCCCGGCGTGGCAGTCTGCCAATGTGGCTTAAAGCCTTACAACCTGAGAAATCAACAGGAACAGTGTAGCTGGGAGCACACAGACGTATGCCAGTGCTCACAGCGTCATTTAAAGTGCTCAAAGCAGCCCTGGCAATGTGCACAGTGGTTAGAGCCGCATGTGCATGAAGGGTCATGGGCTTGATTTCTGGTCAAGTCATGTACCTGGGCTGCAGGTTAGATACCTGCTCTTGGTGGGGGTGTGTGTAAGGCAACCAGCGATGTGTCTCTCACATCGATGTTTCCCCCCCACACACCCCGCTTTACTCTCTAAAAATCAATGGAAAAAATACCGTTAGATTAACAAAAAATAAGTAAAGTGCTCAAAACCATACACAGCTTAAATAGTTCGTGACCTCATCAATTGGGTGATTTGCGCTATGCTAAAAATGGTCAGGTATGTATTTGTGAACCTGAAAAACGCTCACAAGGCAGTTACATGGAAAAAAGCAGGCTAAGCCTGACTGGACTGGCTCAGTGGGTGTGTCCACCTATGAGCCAGGAGGTCATGGTTCAATTCCCGGTCAGGTACACGCGAGGGTTGTGGTCCTGAGCCCCAGTGTGGGCATGCAGGAGGCAGTCGATCAATGCTTCTCTCTCATCATTGGTGTTTCTGTCTCTCTTTCCCTCTTCCTTCCTCTCTGAAATCAATAAAAATGTTTAAAAAATAATAAACAAACAGCAGGCTAAAACAATAGGTAGAATTGCACATATAATTGTATATTTGTTTTCTGCATTATTCAGGGGCTGGTTAACCAATGTGTGAATTAACTACACTCACACCTGTAAGCATGCATGTATGTATGTAGGTAGTAGGTATGTGTGAAAGAGTATGTATCAAATGTTAGCACTGTTACTTGTTACGGAAATATGAAAAATTTTTGGAGTGACCACCTCTACTCTAATTTTCTTCCAAGGAATATTGACTAATCACGTGATAGACCGTCTGAGCTGTAACACTAAGCTGAGCACCTGCAGACCACCAGCGGCCAGTCCCTGTCTCTCCCCCGGCCTCCAGAGGCCGCTGTGCTCAGGCGCAGCCAGAGGGCACTCTGGTTCTCACTGACTAAGACTGGGCAGAGGTCTACATATCCACTGCACACCCGGCTCAGGCCTGGTCCACCGACTGGGGTGTGCTCTGTGCGCGGATTCAGCTGGCTCCCGGAGACCCCAAGGCCAAGTGATGTGCTTGGTGTCCTGTGTCAGCACCTGCTCAGCAACTGCACTCGGCTCACAGCTCCTCTGGGAGCCAACCCTCCCCTTCCTGGGCCTCCTCTTCCTGCCGCCTTCTGCTTCCCAGCATCACTGTGTTCCCAAGGAAACCGCCTCCCACTGTGTCGGTGTGGTTCTGCCTGCATGGACCTGCTCCCGAACGGACCCGCTCCTAATATCCGCCCCGTTAACCACAGGCGCCCTCCGCTCCCCCCGCTGGCTGAGGTCTGCATGTCAGCAGACGGGCCTCCCACAGCTCCGGGTGCCAGGACCCCGGGCCTGAGGCCTGAGCTGGTCAGGCGGGCAGAGCTGCAGCTCCCGGGGCTCAGGGCAGGGAGGCGTTTTGAGGCGGCAGAGAGGGTCAGAGGAGCTTGGAAAGCAGAACAGTCCCATTTTACAAAGCGCTATTATCAAGAGGCAGGCTCAGGCATGGCGTTTGTGCATCGCTGTGGGAAGGTCCAAGGGCAGACACATACAGAAAGGATAAGAGAATTGAACACTGAAGAACTCGGTGAGAGGCAGATGACACAGACACTGGTGGAAGTGACACAGGAAACGAGATGTGACAGCATTGGGGACTACAGCGAAGGAGACGGACCAGGTTCTTATCCTTTCTTCTGGAATGTGCGGTGGGTGCTCCCGGCAGGGGTCGGCAGCAGGTTTCACCTGCAAACACGCCTGCTGCCTGAATCACAGCCCCGTTAGGGCGAGGTCGCCCCGCAGGCGGGGCTGCCGTGACCACAGCGCACTCATCTGACACTTTGCTCATGAAAGCAAACTGTGTCCACTGCCAGGGAAGCGGGCAGCCCAGTGCCGCCTGCAGACAGCCCTGTCGCTCAGTGAGCAAGGAGACACAGGGTGGGTGAGCAGCAGGTGCATGCTGAGCACTCTGGCCTCACTCACGCCCACGGCAAGCAGGCTTGCTCTGGCACCTTGAGCTGCGTCTCCCTGTCGGTCAGTCCTGCACTAGGCCGCTAGCTCGTACATCCCCTCGGCTGACAGGAGAGCGCTGTCTCCATTTGACAGCGCCAGCAGTTTGACTTCGTAGACGCTAGTGAATTTTCCAAAGTCAAACCAGAGCGTGAGGCCGGGCGGGGCCTGGCGGGGAGCGGCAGCGGGCGCGGCAGCGGCGCAGGCACGCACTCACCTGCGCATGCACTCCAGGGCCTGGGTGAAGACCTGGGGGGCCATGCCGTGCTCGTGCTGCAGGATCAGGCACTGCTCCAGCGTCACCGACATGGCCGTGCGGTCCTTGGCGCTCTTGCAGCTGGTGAACCGGACCCCGTTAAGACGGCGGCAGACCTGCCCACAGGAAAACAAGCCACGCTGAGAGGGCGACTCTGCAGAAGGAGATGCCCCGCATGGCACAGAGGCTCCAAGGGCCCAGCGAGGATGTGGCCACAGCTCCCCCCGAGGCCCGGCCACTCCCTCTGCACTGCTCCCCGCGACGGAGAGAGGCACTGCCAGGGGACCTCTGCCCTCCGGCTGCCCTGGGCACCTGCTCCCACAGGGGGCACCTTCCCAGCCAGGCCCCCTCCCTTTCGAAGGTCACTCTCTTTGTGCCCTTCCGACTAGTCTCTTCCAACTGGGTGCGGGCCTGAGAGGACCGGGAGGAGCAGCACGGACCAGCTCCAGGCCAGAGCGGCCAGAGGAGGTCCCGCCCATCCGGGCCTCAGGCCTCTCTGGCTTCCTCTCCTCCTCTCCCCGCAGATGGGGGCCGCTCAGAACACTGCCCTGGAGCCCTCGCTCGGGGCCTGGCACACGCGTGAGGGGCTCCCAGGCGGGCCCTCCGGGCTGGGAAGGAACACTCAGGGCGTCCCTCCCCCATAGAAGGATGCACTGGGCCACTTCCTCTGCATCACTAGGGACCGTCCCCAAATCCAGAAAGCCTTAAAACAAAAAGGGTAAGCTTGTGGCAACCTCACTTGGGAGCACACTCAGATCTGAGCTGGTGCAAGCCCACTGACCATCTTTATGCCATTTTGTATAAATAGTCGCACTTTTTAATGAAGCGACGTTAATTGCATACGTGCACCATGTTACATGTGTGTGCACCAATTGTACACGTCACTTCTAAGATAAGGAAACGTGTGAATTCCAGACCACCTGGCCACAGACTCCAGGCAAGGGCCCGTGACACGCTGTTACCACAGAGCACTCATCTGACACTTTGCTCGTCGCTCAGGTGAGCAGGGAGACGTACGATGGGTGAGCAGGTGTGTGCTGAGCCCTCCGGCCTAACCTCCCAGCCGCTCAGTCCTGCGCTAGGCCGCTAGCTCCTGACACTCCTCACGGACAGGAGAGCGCGGCTCCGTGGACAGTGCCAGCAGTTTGACTCCGTGGACGCCAGTGACCTTTCCCTCAAACGCCCTCCTCTCTGCGGGCGCACCTCAGCCGCTTGCCAGAGGATGTCCACGTTCTTGTTCTTCCTGGCGTGCACGTTCTGGCCCAGGAACCGCAGCAGCTCCGGCAGGCACGTCTGGCTCCGAGAGCGAGGCAAGCCTAGGAGGAGGAGGCGTGGGAGCTGGTGCCACACCTGAGCGCAGCCCAGGGGGCCGCCGAGCTCAGAAATGGCAAAGTGAAGCTTCTGGCTGCAGCTGGAAGTCGAGTGAGACTTCAGCAAGAAAGCGGGATGTGTGGGGCCTGGACCCGGCCTCATGTCGGGAGAATGCACTGCCTTTCGCTGACGTTCAGTCACTGCAAGGCACTCGCTCGCCTCAGCCCCTTCAGCTCCTCCCAGGGCCACCAGGGAAGGAGGGGAGGGAGGACAGAGGTGACCCACCTGGTCTTCACACCCTCCCCCAGGGACGGAGGACGCTGTGGGCTTGGCCCTCAGTGGGGGAGGTGGGGCGGGCAGCCTCCAGCAGGTGGACCTGGACTGGCCCAGGCAGGGTCACCCCTCCAGCCGCTCCCTCTGCCAAATGGCATCTCCAGATGCTTCTGGGACTTAGACCAAAGACCAATCAGACTGCCACCTCCCCTGATAACCTTGGGACGTTCAGACGGGGTCATCAGAGAAAAAGAGGGCTCTCCAGGTCATGGCTAAGGAAAACAGCACGGTACCTAAACCCCCAAATCAAAACGTGCAATTCTGGGGTCTGGCAGCACATCCAGTGTCCAGCACAAAACCGCACCCTGGTGGGCACAGGGCCTATGCTAGTTATCCCACATCCTGATCTGTGCCCAGAGGCCCCCTGGGATGTTCATGCCCCTCCTTGGCCTCATCACCGGTCCACCTTAGCACCTCCTGGAGCTTCGCATCACTGGAAACTGGCCACCCCAAATATCAAGCACAGAACTCCCCCTCCTTCCCACAGTGCTTGTGAGTGACAGACTGTGGCAGAGCCCAGTGTGACTCGGATGGGGGAGGGGAGGGGTCAGAAAGGGCCCCTGAGCCTGCGCAGTCCTCGGAGCGGGGGCGGGCAGCCTGAGTGGGGGAAGGGATGCCGCGGGGCAGGGACAGGGTCAGGGGCAGGGTGGGCAGCACAGGGAGGCCAGGAGGCAGCCGCGTGGCAGGAAGCACACCCAGAGGACATAAGACAATACTTACAGTCCTCAGGCAGCACCTCCTTAAACTGCTCGAAGTAGGAGTTCAACCGCACCAGACTCTCCATGTTGATAACTTCTTGTAAGGATGTGTCGCCAAACCTTCGGGGGTCACAGAGGCTGTTAGTGGCTGATGCTGCTCTCCTCCCGCCCAGCCCTATGCGTTCCAGCTAACGCTGCACACATTCTGAGACTCGCTCCAGGCATGAGGCGAGTGACAAGTTCAAATTGCCTTGTCACTGCCTTGGTGACAAGTTCAAACACATTTCAGCAGGAGCCACGCACACTGGTTACAGACGTGCAGGAGGCTGTGAGAACTCCAGGAGTACAGTCCCCCCTGCGTCCCCCGGGCGGTACACCCCAAACCCCACAGTGCTGGCCGGCGGGAGTCCCGTCCTCCCACCCCTCAAGGACTCAGGAGAGGGGCCAGGAGGGGGCGGCGGCTGGGGAGTTAGGACGGGTCCTGCACTTGGTGTGCAAGTGCGCGCTGTGTCCGAGTGACCACGCTCCGCTGGATTGTGTGGAGACCACTCTCTCACCATGCGGTCACCCCGCCCACCTTGCAGGCAGCCAAGGCGTGTCCGAGGCGCAAGGGCGAGGCAGAGGAGACGCCACGGGAAGGTGCAAAGTGGACACGCCAGCAGCGAACTCCAAGGCCGGAGGCCAGGCCCGCTCCACCCTTCCTCTGAGGGGTCTCCCGCACAGCAGCCTCTGCGTGGCCCAGGTCCTTGCTCAGAGGCAGGGCCCTCCTGTGGGTCCCCCACAGCCTGTCCACCTGAGGACCACAGCGGCTTCCGCTCTGCGCCTGCAGCTGGGCTTGTCTATGAGCTGAGGGAGGTTGTCCCAGGAGCCTGGCCTCACCCACCGTCCGTCCTCTCCACCAGCCCCGCTCACTGCGATGGAGACGCCCGGCTGCCACTGTCCCGCTGCCTCTCTCTCTCACACTGGCCTCTACCACAGTCACGGCTGAAAGCTCCATCCACATGCCTGTCTGCCTCGGGCTTGACTCTTTCCATCAGCCTCTGCAGCACATGTCCCTAACGTCATCCAGGACACGTCAGCCAGAAAGTCATCACCTTAAAAGGCACCTGACTGTGTCCTCCTTATGTTCTTCCATGTCTCCCCAGCCACACCACATGTGCCAGATGGGATGCCCGCACACCTAGGGGTCGACAGACCGTGACCACTGGTTTAAAGGCCCAGTAGGAATATGGCTGATCATCCTGGAGACCAGATGCCCTTCACCGAGAGTTAAGAGACCTTTTCATCGTAAAGTACACACATCACATGATGGGACAGACAGCAGGAAAGATTTTCATGTACCAGTGAAATGTCATGACAGGTTACACACACCCAACCCCTCCTCCTCTGCAGCACATACACGTGCACACACTGCCGCCCGGCAGGTGACCCTGCAGGGAGTTGACAAGGCGTAAGCCTTTAGGACCCAGGTGACCCTCCGCATGCACACAGGCCCCTCTAACTCGGGACCTAGAAGCTTCTCCCTGCCTGCCTCGCTCAGGCTTCTGGGCCTGGGATGCCAGGTCTCTCCTCTGCCTCTTCATTTGACCAAAGGAAGGTAGCTAATGCCGCTCCTGGGGCCAAAGGAAGGAAGGAGGATAAAGTCCATCCAGCATCTGGAGGCTGAGAGGGCTTGTCCTTTTCCTGTCCTCTCCATGTCTGCCCAGCCCTCCATCTGGCTGCACACGCACCTCTCGGCCAGCGTCTGCTGCTCGTTGATGCCCACGTTGAAGAGGACTGGCTGCACCCGAAGCAGCATGCCGCTCTGGATCTCCCGGGGCAGGGTGTCAAACAGGGGGGCCGGCAGAGGGATCCGCACGTTAAACCCGTCACTAGGAAATGGGAGCGGAGGGGTTAGGCTTGTGACGGGGGAGAAGGGAGAGGAGGCATGGGAGACAAGGAGGACAAAGCTCTCTGCAACACGGAGTATGGGCTGGTCATCTGGCTCAGTGACTCCCAAACTGCTGGTGTGAACTTCCAGAGGATGAAATTAACGTAGAGGGCTATAAGCATTTTTTAAAAGTATATGTCTCTATTGATTTTAGAAAGAGGGGTAGGGAGAGGGAGAGAGAGAGAAACATGGATGTGCGAAGGAAACATCGATCCGTTGCCTTCCACACATGCCCCTAATGGGGATCCAACCTGCAACCTGAGTAAGTAAGTGCCCTGACTGGGAATCTACCCAACAACCTTTTGGTGCACAGAGCAACATTCAACCAACTGAGCTACACCAGTTGAAGCTGTGATAAGCACTTTTACCTGAATGAAACAATAAAACAAAAGTTAAGACTGCATGGCAGGGACATAGGCCAAGATGGCAGTGTAGGTAAATGAAGAACTTGCATCCTCTTGCAACCATATCAGAATTATACCTGAACTACAGAACAACCATCATTCAGAACCACCTGAAACCTGGCTCAGTGGAAGTCCTACAACTAGGAATTGAAGAAGCTACATCAAGACTGGTCCAAGGGGCAGAGACATGGACTGGGCTGGTCCCACACCCACATGTGGCATACAATAATCAGGAGGGATATTATCTCAGCTGTGGAGGTCCTCCCTGTGGAGTGAGGCACCATCTCTGAGTCTCCACCAACCTGGTTAAGGCTACTTACCCTGCCCTGGTGATTCCCTGAGGCCCCACCCCCACCCTACTTGCAGGCCCACACAAGCTGCTTCCAACGGCTTCCATAAAACTGGCCTGTGTTGCCTCATGCTTCAGACTTTCCTAAAATCTCTCAAACAAGCAGCATCTGGCCTCTATGTACCCTGTACCTCTTGCTAAGTGGCCCCAGGCCAGGCACTAGTGGTAGCAAGCCTTAATTCACAGCTTGGCCTCTTCTGGGCACCTCCAAGCCCAGCACAAATAGCTCCTATCTGCAGATCATTCTGAAGCTTATGCTGAATGACCAAAGGCAGAGCCCACCTTTTGGGAGGCCCCGAGACAATACACTCAGTTTTTGGCATGCCAATTACGGTTTCAGACCATGTCAATTACAATGTGGACACCTCCACAAGCAACACACTGAAGGGGCAGACGTGGAGAGCAACAAAGCCCCACTGAAGCAAGTCCTGCTCCATTGGAATATCTCCTGTACAGCAGCTCTTCTACTGTAGTCACAGCTGGTCCTCACAGCCAATTGGCCTTGGGGGTCAATCCCCCCCAGTGATGCCAACAGCAATCAAGGCTCAACTATAGCAAGACTGTGCACATAGCCCACACCTGGAATTCCAGCCTCGAATGACTGGAGAGGCTGTGCCACTGGGCCCTACAGGACACCTAATACACAAGGCCACTCTACCAAGTCCAGGAGACAGAGAAGCTTTACCTAATACATTGAAACAAGCATAGGGAAGTGCTGGAAGCAGCTGGCCGTGGTTCACAGCTTGGCCTCCTCTGGGCACCTCTAAGCCCAGCACAAGTGGCAGACATCTGCAGATCACTTTGTGGCCCCGGGAAGAGCAGCAGCACCTGAACTTGGCCTGCACCTCCCAGGAAGCCTAACAAGGAACAATGGACCCAGTGGACACCTTCAGACCACACTGAAGCACCTCCACAAACAACACACTCAAGAGGTGGACTGCGTGGGCACCAGAGCCCCACTGAAGTAAGTCCTGCTCTGTGGGGTGGGCCTACACAGCTGGTCCTCCACAGTGGTCGGAGGTTGGTAGTTGGTAGTTGGTGGTTGCAGCCAGTCCTTGAAGCTGATCAGGTGAGAGCAAATCCCTCCCATTGACTTATCAACAGCAATCAAGGCTCAACTACAAGAGGAAGCTGTGCAGCCCAAGCTGGGCACACACCTCAAGTGCCCAGCTTAGGTGAGCAGGGAGGCTGTAACACTGGACGCTATAGGGCACCTATTATATTAGACCACTCTACCAAGCGTAGGAGGACATAAGCTCTACCTAATACACAGAAACAAACTCAAGGAGGTTGCCAAAATGAGACAAAGAAACATGTCCCAAATGAAAGAACAGAATTCCAGAAAAAGAACTAAACAAAATGAAGATAAGCAATCTAGAGTCAGAGTTCCAAATACTGGTTATAAGGATGCTCAAGGAACTTACTGAGAACCTCAATAGCATATAAAAGGACCAGTCAAAAATGAAGGCAACATTACCTGAAATAAAGAATAATTTATAGGTAATTAATAGTAGATAGATGAAGTTGAGAATAAAATCAGTGATTTGGAATATAAGGAAGCAAAAAACATCCAATGAGAAGAGTAAAAAGAAAAAAGAATAAAAAAATGAAGACAGTATAAGGAGCCTCTGGGACAACTTCAAGGGAACAAACATTCGTATCAGGAGGTGCTACAAAGATAAGAGAGAGAGCAAGGAATTGAAAATCTATCTGAAAAAATAATGACAGAAGAATTCCCTAACTTGAAGAAATCAGACATACAAATCCAAGAAACTCAGAGAGTCTCACACAAGATGAACCCAAAGGGGCTCACACCAAGACACATCATAATTATAATGCAAAAGGTTAAAGACAGAGAGACTCTTAAAAGCAGCAAGAGAAAAGCAGTTAGTTACCTATTAGGCAGCTCCCATAATACTGTCAGCTGATTTCTCAACAGAAACTTTGCAGGCCAGAAGGGATTGGCAATAAATATTCAAAGTGATGTAAAGCAACCACAACCTACAACCAAGATTACTCTACCCAGCAAAGCTCTTTTAGAATCAATGGATAGATAAAGAACTTTCCAGACAAGAAAAAACTAAAGGAGTTCATCACCATCAAATCAGTATTATATGAAACTAGAGGCCCAGTGCATGAAATTCATGCACAGGGGTGGTGGGGGTGGTGGGGAGGAGCCTCAGACCGGCCTGCAGCCTCTTGCAATCTGGGGCCCCTCAGGGGATGTCTGACTGCTTGTTTAGGGCCTATCCTAAACCAGCAGTAAGACATCCCTCTCACAATCCAGGACCACTGACACCTAACTGCTCATCTGCCTGCCTGCCTATCACCCCTAACCACTCTGCCTGCCTGCCTGATTGCCCTTAACTGCACGCCTGCCTGCCCGCCCAACTGCCCCAACCACTTCTGCCTCCACCCTGCCATTGTGGCTTCATTAAGAAGGACATCCAGAAGGTTGTTCGGCTGTCCGGTCTAATTAGCATATTATGCTTTTATTATTATAGATGTTAATGGGTCTTCTCTAAGAAGAAAAAAAAGGATAAAAAATGAAAAAAGGCAATAAATAGTTACCTATCAACAACTGAATGTAAAAAAAAAAAAAAAAAAAAGCAAAATAAATGAACACAGAAGAGAAGCAGACTTGCATAAAGAACATGTTGACAGTTGCCAGGTGGGAGGATGTGAAAAAAGTGATGGGATTAAGATGTATTAACTAGTAGTTATAGAATTGTCATGGAGATGTAGCATACAGCATAGGGAATGTAATCAGTAATAGTCTAATAACTATGTATGGTGTCAGATGGGTGCAAGATTTATTGGGATGGTCATTTAGTAAGTTATATAATGTCTAATCACTGGGGTGGACACCTGTAACTAATATAACAATGCATGTCAAATGTAATTGAAAAAAATTTAAATGATTTCAAAAAAAGAGCACATGGGAAGTAATAAACTTAAGACACTGCTAGTTCTAAGAATTTAAAAATACTTCTACCGATTTCCTGTGATGACAGGCAGCATGTCAGTCGATGCGTTGGAAGTGGCCTGTGTAACTTTGAAGGTCACGTTCCTCAAGTCCATGATTCCAAGGCTCATGTCCTCCAGCATGGCCAGCTCCTCACCTGGATGCAAAGGAGGGAAGGAGGGCTGTCAGATGGAGGGGACCTGCACTCTCCTAGGACTCAGCCTGGTCACAGGGTGAGGCACAAATGGAAGATGACAGAATAAGGTGTTGTGACGAGTGTGAATGTAAGTGAGTGAGAGTGTGGGCGGGGCCTTTCCCAGCCTCTTTACCAGGCAATTTGCTTTTTCTCCCCAAGTAGATACTGCTATGAAACCAACAAATACTCTTTAAATTATTCATTTTTATCTTCTCCGAAGAAATAAGTAAAAATGGAGGTAAGGAGAAAAGAGCCTTTTCAGAGGGCAATTGGGAAATAACTATGGAATTTAAAAATATTCCTACTCTTTAAAAAAAATACTTTTTTTTTTTATTTTTAGAGAAAGAGGAAGGGAGAGAGAAAGAAAAAGAGAAAAACATCAATGTGAGAGTGAAACATCCACTGCTTCCTGTACACCCTCTACTGGGTCTCAAGCCTGCAACCCGCCCTTTGGTACAGAGGATGACACCCCACGGCTGGAGCCACGTGAGCAGCCAGTTCCTGACACAGACACTCTCCTTCTAATGCTTCATGGGCCGCAGAAACGGGCCCACAAGTGCACAGACGTACGTGCAAAGATACATGCCAACACTGTTTCCACAGGAGGGGTTCAGAAACGGCCTCAGCATCCTACAGGAAGCTGGTGCTTAAATAATAATCATCCATCCTCAACTAGAAAGATCTCCCAGATGTTAACGACCAACATACAAGCTGGGGTTGGGGTCACTAAATCGGACTCTCATCTGCTCTGTGTTTAGAGTTTGGAGAGGCTGGATTTATGTGAATCAGCCTGTGTTACAGTGTAATCAGAAAAATATGCAGCAAGAAAGCACGGATCACCTGTGCTCACACTCCCACGGGCCCCTGGTCCCACCGCGGGCCTCAGTCTCACCGTAGGTGCTCAGCAGGCTCTCGAACTGGGCGAGCAGCCCGATGGTGTAGAGCTGCCGCAGGAAGCCGTCGTCGTGCAGGCAGTTCCTCAGCTTGATGATGAAGCCGCAGACGAGAGCCGTCAGCTGTGGGACAGACACTGCTTACCACCGGCAGCGCCCTGACCGAGGCCTCTGCTCCTCGCTCTAACCTGGATCTGGGCCCCAGGAAGGGCGGGCCACGCGGCAGGCTCACTACTCTGCTGCTCCCAAAGGCAAGTTTGGTTTTGGCTCAGCCTCTGGCCTGGCCTGCCAGCACTTACTCCTGGGCTAGAACCTCCTGGAAGCCGAGAACTAATTCCCTACAGTGACAGGGCCTATTTACTCCCAGATCCAGGCCAGCTCTGGCCGGAACTGAGGTGACCACAACAAGGAGCAGCAGCGAGAAAGGACTCGGCCGCTCTGCACGTCTCCTCCGAGGGAGACTCCACGGGAGAAACGGGCCTGTGGGATGGGTGAGGACAGGCAGAACCACCCATCTCTGCAGACTCTTCCCTTTGCTAACTGATGACTGACATTGACGACAGCTGACTTTCATTTAGCTCTTCCTTCTATGAGGACAACAGAAATCGCTGGAACAGTGGTGCGCAGGCTGCAGAGCTGAGCGCCTGCTGTTTTGTAAACAGGAAAACAGATTGCCCTGACAGCCAACAGCTGTCTCCCTTGGTGAAACCCTTAGTGGGGAAAAGGCGGTAAAGAGGCCTGAGCCTCTGGCGCGGGGCAGGAGGAGCAGGGCCCTTCTTCAGGGAGAAGCTGGTCTGGAATGGACCCTCTCCTCCATGCAGAGCGCTGGAGGTTCCTGTGGCCTCCGTGTTAGTAAATGTAAAGGCGCCGGGCAGGGGCCCTCGGCCACCAGCGGCTTCTCCACGGCAGAGGAAAGGTCCGGTGCCTGCGTCTGCTTACGGTTTGGCAGAAGACGGCGTCGCGGCGGTGCTGCAGGCTCAGGTAGGCGGCGATGGTGGGCGCGCTGTCCTGCATGAGCAGGAAGACCATGGCCTTCTTGGCTTTGTCGCTCATCATGGCCACACAGTCTGTGAGTGTGGTCAGCAGCGGGTAAAGCGCCTCGCTCCACTCACCTGTCACAGGGAGACCGCGTTTGAGAGGGAAGACTGAAGAAGGAAGCTCGGGGAGTCTAACAGGGTGCCTGTCCCTAACCCGTACTGCCCTCCCCACTCCACTCCCACCCCTTCTGCACCTAACTCCGCCTGGCCCAATCGGTGCCAAGTTCTGCCTGGACCTGTCCGGGCCGCTAACCTCCCAGCCTGAAGCTTTCCAGTGAGCTCAAATGCCAGCCCTCCTCTGGGACCCTGGCACGTGCCTGGTCTCCCAAACCTACGCGGCTCAACAAATACCCAAGACTATTCTTTCTGAGGAAAACAGCCGGAGAAGACCCTGCAAGTCATGACTAAGGAAGAAAATTATTCTGTCTGTAGAGGCCAAGCCCCTCTGGTCCTCGACCCAAGGGCATCCAGGACAGTGACCTGTTACCTGCTTCTTGACTCGGGCCCTGAGGACAAGGACACCCATCCTGGTCCAGCCTCCGGCAGCTGTGCTAGCCGCTCCCTTCCCATATCCGAGGAAAGATGGTCCCACTCAGCTTCCCGTGTTCTCGGCTCAGACATCCCTTCCTTCTGCACTCTCCCTTCCCCACCCCAGCCTTCCTGCCTGGATCCATCTATTTCTAATTTAGAGGTTTTTAGGACTCTAAGGAAGCTTTGACCCTGAACCAAAACTACTTTTTAAAAATAGAACCCCAGGGGAGAAAACAAAAATGGAAGGAATTTGGGGCTTTGGCTCTTTCTCTTTCCTATTTAGAGGGTATTTAAAAGGGCAGAGATGCCCTCATCAGTTCCATTTTTAATGGATCACCAAACCCAGAAACAGGCACTTGATACCAGCACTGCGTGCCCACCACACACGCAGCCGCGGCAGTGGGTCAAAGCTGGGCAGATGCTCGCGGCTGGGGTGTCAGCCGCAGAATGCCCACAGGGGCCCCGCCCTCCGGGAAGGCCCGGGCACGTGAGCAGTGCATCTGCCTGGGGTGAGCTCCGTCTCAGATAAACAGCAAGAAGGCCTGGCCCTGGCTCTGCTCTCCAGACTCTGTGTTCAGCACTGTGCTGAAAAAGAAATTAGGAAGTGCCTAAAACCTGCAAAAAGACCTCCCTACGCTCAGTGCTCGGTGAACGTGGGTTTCTGAAGATGTAGCTATTCAAAACTTGGCCATGACCTCACTGCATGTGTAGGCCCACTGTAATGGAAAAAGCTGGCTTACATTTAGAAAGTCTACCCAGAACGGTCTTAGCCAATAAATCATGGTGACAAAGAACACTTGACCAACGAGTGGAAAACCTGTCCTGGGCCGGCTGCCACCGAGCCAGGGATCCGTGACCGCTCAGCCGAGTAGGTCCTTCCTGGTAAGATGGGAGCCTGGAACTAAATATCACCCGAGTCTCTTCCTCTAAAACTCTCACAGTCCACGTTTTGTTTCTTTGAATTCTGTTAAATGTATGTCAATTTTCCGCAATGATTAAAAAAAGCTGATGGCAACAAGTTTTAGTGCCCAAATAGTTTGGAAAAAGGTGGTGTTATGAAGACTATTCAGGAAGAAATAAGTCCTTTTAGAGCATATGCTACCAATTTTACTTTCTTTTCACTTAATATGCATATACATATGCAATTAACATGCAAATTATGGCCATTTTAACCTGAAAAATGCTCAAAATATATCAGTGGTCCTATCTGATTAAGCAAGCCCACTCCATGCAGCAGTTTTTTTACTTTGCCTACTTCTCATTCAAAAAGAAAAGTCCGAAGAATAACTCAGCTTTGCTACCTTATTATAATCCACTGACAAAACTGGAGGCTAAAAGCATGGTTAGCAGACATGCGGAGCGTGTGCAGGAGAGGGTGCAGATTGGGCCTGAGCCCCCGCTGCTGTGCATGGCCTGCTGAGTGCTTCACCTACAACCACCTCCTCACCCACCCACCCCGGAGATGGACTGGGGAGGAAACGGGCTCAGCGGGCGGAGGGAGACATACGGGAGCACCTGCCACCTGCACACGCGTCTGACAACTCCTCATGGTTTCTATGACATCAAGAGCTTCCGAGTAGGGGTTTGGTGTCACAACCTTTGGGCTACTTATTACTCCACACTCCCTCAGGTGACGCTAGGTCCCGGCGAAATCAGAGCAGGTCTCCTTTACCGACGTGCACCTCGCTCTGAGGCAGGGGGCCCGCTGCAGGAAGCCCAACGCCCCTTGGCAGTAATCCTCTGACTCAGTACAGGGTGGGAAAGAGGAAAAATGCACGTGGTGGCCGGCTGCAGGCCAGTCCCCAGCCTGACGGGTCCCGCACCGAGCCTCAGAAAGCTGCTACAGCCTCACAATGAGAAACTCCCAAACAGCAATGTTGTAACTCTGGGAGCACATACTGCAAATGCCAGCTGAGTCTTAGAGAGCCATCTGCGTACGACCCTGGGGCGGAACCACGTACCTGGGCTGGATTCTTCAGGAGGGGGGCTGCAATCTGCACAGAAACGGAGGGCAACACGGATGAATAAGAGCAGCACACAGTTCAAGCACCAAACTCAACGCTTGCAGCAACTGCTTCCACAGCTTGCCGTAAGGTGGCTACCCGGACAGCGAAGAGGGGGGCGGCCTGCCTCTTCCCCAACAAGTCACATGGACGTGCTCCGGCCACTCCACGGCAGCCGAGCCCCTCGGTGGTCAACACAGCCCGGCTCACAGGCATAAACATTCATGTTGCTAATACGCCAACATAGAATGCTTTTTGGGGTGAGCACGCTTACATGTTACAATGTGATGGCGTGCCCACGTCCGTCACATTGCATGTGATGGAGCCCCTGTTGGCTCAGGCATCTGGAAGCAAACTTGAAATGAGAGAGACTGACCAGTCAGCCATCAGAGGGCCCACCGCGGAGCACTGCCCGCTGATGGGCGGCACGGCTGCAGACTGCCTGCTGAGCCCACAGGCAGAACCCAGGGGGGAAGGCAGGGCACCGGGACCCTCTCTGTCACTCTTCGAAACGCAAACCAAATACACAACTTCATGATTAGGAGGAAGTCTAGAATTAGAATAGCCCTCCAGATCCCTCAAAAAGTAACAATTTTGAAGTTTCTTGCTAACTGGGTGTGCCACCTAAAAAAAAACTAGAAATCATTTGGGATAAAAGTTTATTTTATTTTGCTGCCTAAACTTTTTAGTTCAAAGAATGCCTCCAGGATATAGAAATACAATAGATCATTTCAGATCCCCAAGAATGGCTGGGACCGGCTATGGGGAGATTCAGAACCTGTGAAACTGTCCAAAAGCCGTGACAGGGGATCCTCCCCCTCTTGCCATCTTTGCTGATGATTTCTTTCTCTGGGCAAAGGGGACAGAAATAGAGCCAAGCCACAGGCCTCTGGGAGCCAGCCTTTGGACTCACTGGTAGAGCCATCTCCCTCAGACGGAGGGACGCCTGCCCGGCGTGGAGATGAGCACAGCGACTCTCCCACCTCAGCCCGACTGATAGCACGGCCAGGCCTGGAGGAAAACACAGATCTCTGCCTTCCCAGGTCAGAATAGGAGGCCTGGGAGCCTGTTTGTGACCCGTGGTGATCGCAGACAGCTGGATGGCGGGGGTTAAACCGGCTGGGTGAAGGCTCTTCAAAGGGGAGAGGGAGTGGTCCCCTGGGGTACTCTGGGACCAGCTGCTTGTCATAGGTCATGGTCACTACGGACTTTCTCTCATTTTAACACATAATTTCAGGCACACAAACCTGAGTACAACCCACAGACCTCCGCTTCTGGACAACCTGGTCCTGGCTTGAAGGACTTTTGGGGGAATGAGGAGAGCAAGAGAGTGTTTGTGTAAAGGTAATGGAAGTCACAAATCCTGGCATGGGGGCTCGGGGGTCACCTGTAGGAAAACGGGGAGAAGAGAGAGGCTTATGGAGCCTGCAGTGGGTCCCGAGGAGTCCCCTCCCTTCCCCTCGCCCACCAGGCAAGGCTCTGCTCAGCTCTGCAGGAGGGGGAGCTAAGAGGCAGGCAGCTCCTTGGTAAAAGATGGGAAAGGAGGACCCGGGATGGGCAGAGAATTGGAACAGAAAGTAACGGTGCCTTTCCAAGAGCAGGGAGTTTGTAGGCAGTAAGTATGCAGGAGTGACTCGGGCCACACACCTGCCCCAGGAGCACCCTGGTCTCAGGAGTCACGCCAGGGCCCTGCTTTGCCCCGGGGACATGAGGGGAGGAAAACACGGGCCCCGAGGTCTGCTTCTCTCTGACCCCCCTGCTCCTGCTGCGGTCCGAGGCGCGGCCCGGCCCGCGCTGGGTGTCCGGGCTAAGGGTCACGGGCAGTTCCCTCCGAGGCGGTGGTCCACACGTCCCTGTGAGCGCTGGCGGCAGCTAGCCTCCCTCAGTGCCTCACATTCCCACCACACACCGCTCATTCGTGTGGCACACACAGTCACAAGTCAAGTCCTAAACATGCTCATTTAAATCACTTTAAAGTTGCATTTAAATTTGCCTACATTTGAACAAACACAGGTTGTATCTAGAAAAAAATTACGACATTTAAGTTATGAGTGTAACAGTTAATCTTATTAAATAAACTATCTCCTGCATTTTAAAAATTCAATAAATTACTTTTTGTATCTGCAGAAAAACTTAAAGCACAAATAAGACAATATTAAAGAGAAATGAGCGGTGAGTTTTCAGTCATATTTTGAAGAAACACAACTTACATTAAAAAATGAGAACACAGACAGAAAGTTCCATGAACTGCGCTGTGAACCGCACAATGGAAGCGCGTTCAAACAGGCCCCAGTGCGGCAGACTGCAGGCGGACAGACGGGAGAGCACCGTCCAGTGCGGGGCTGGAGAGCTCTGAAGAGCTGCCCAATGCAGATGAAAAGTCCTGGCTGTGGGAAGCCCCCCCCTGCACAGCGGGGCCTCACTTCCTGTGGCTCACACCCCCAAGGGGAGCCAAGAGGAACAGAGGCCCGATCGCAGCCTGGCCTTTTCCTGTGAGAGCCGGAGCCCCGAGCTGCGGGGACAAGAAGCCGGTCGCGCCATCAGGCGCGAGGCAGGGCCGGGCGTCTGGCTGTGCCCTGTTCCCGCAGACAGAGATGCTTCCTGAAGTGCGCTGCTCCGTGCCAAGGCCCTTCGACCCTCAGAGCCCGCCCTGGTGGTGAGCACGGGAACCTAACTCAGCTCAGAGGCACAGGAGCAGGTGCCACCACCAGACCGAGTTACCACACGTCCCAAGGCACCGTCTGCTGGGCGAGCGCCCACTTCTGACAACTGGCCTCCCGACAAGTCCGCTGGGCCGCCAACAGCTCTCCTCCGGCTTGTCCCTCACCAGTCACCTGTCCCTGGTTCTCCCAGCTCCTGGCACAATACTATAAACAGCCTCGTCAGAAATGCATGTGCATTTTGGCCTCCTCCAGCTTCTCAGATTGGTTCACAAACCAGGAGTCCAGGAGCCCGACCGTTACTGCTGTGGCAGCACGGCCCAAGAGGCCCTCAGCCCACTGCAGCCAGGCTGCAGATCACACGCAGGCTCCGTGGGCATGAAGCCCACGGCACCTCTGCCCTCACTGCCAGCTGCTCCATGCACGGCGACACCCCCTCCGCCGACAGCCCTCCCTGCAGTCTGCACGGGGAAGAGAACACGGAGTCGAGACACAGACAGACGCGGCATGAGGTGGAGGAAGCGAGATGGGAAGCGTGATGCATACGCACGTGTGGTCAGGTGAGGATGGCATGCAGCAGAGGGCATGGAGGCGGGCATGGAGGCGGGGCGTGGTGAGGAGGGGGCATCACAGAAGGGGTGCTCCGGTCGGATCCAGTAGGCGCGGCTGCTCCGGTTACCTTTCTTGCTGGTGCCGCTGCCCGAGCAGGGGAAGCCGTCCTCGCAGCCCTCACCGAGCAGGCGCTCCTTCTGCAGCAGCTTGTCCACCCGCTGGATGATGCACTCCAGGCTCTTGTCCACGTTCAGCCACACTTTCTCCTTCCAAAAGCAAAGGAGCCCATTTTGGTCAGCTCTCCAACAGGAAAGACAGAGCAGATCACAAACCAAGCCAGCCCCCAATGACCCCACCCACATCACGCTCATTAAAACACAGGTTTAGAAATACCGATAGGATTCGTCATTTCCCAAACACAATGTAAGTTGTATTTGCTTTCCGAAGGATGGATCAATGTCCCAGGTTGCTAGTTTTAAAATGTGGAGATGTTTGCGAGGAATTGTCATGGAAGCCAGGCAGGGCTTCCCAGCACCTTCCAGCGCTAACACAGGGCGGCAGGGCCGAGCCGGTGTCGCCCGTCCTCGCTCCCCCACGACCTCCTGGGTCACACAGAGGGGCCGCGGTCTCTTGGATGGAAGAGAATGGAAACAGTTGACCCCTTCAGAGGGGGTGGTGGGAGGAGGTGAGGGACGCCCGATCAGATCAGGGCTGAAGCAGCGCTTGCCCAGTAACTCAGTAACTCAACCTCTGCTTCTCAACAGCCAGACACACGACAAAACATGCTACGGATCCGCTCTCAGGCACAACTCTGAGGACAACGCTATGTGGTGTTGGGCGAGCGGGTGGGGCGTGGCGAGGGCAGAGGCTCGAGGAGAAATCCGCCCCTTCCGGCCGGGTCTGAGGAGGGCAGCCCTCGGCAGCCCCGCCCCTCACATGGGCACAGCGGTGAAATCCTGCCTCCCTCCCAACATCAGGTGGCCCCGCAGCCGTCTGGAAGGGCCCCGGAGCTTATCTGCAAAGGCCCTCCGGAGGGAGAGCCAGGGGAAGTTTCCAATCTCAACCCAAGCTCAGCAGCGCGATGCGGGCGATGGGCAGCACTCACCCACTCCTCCTCGTGCCAATCCACCTGCAGGGAAGACCGGCTGTTCCTGCCCGTCCACCTGGCCATGAGCGTGTCCTGGTCGTTCCTGAGCATCACCTGCTCCTCCTCAGTCGAGGTGGGGGAGGCCTTGGAGGCGATGTAGTCGGGCCGCGCGGCGTTCAGCCCATGGATGGCGCTGGCCAGCAGCTTGCAGTCGCAGACGGTGACCAGCTGCCGGGTCTGCAGGCACAACACACCGGGGCCCTGAGCTCCAAGCCAGGGACTGCCAGGCCTGTCCTCCCTGAGAGCTCGGACCCATCTGAGCCCAGCACTGCCCCCCGCCCCCTCCACAGCCTTCGGGACGCCGAGCCTGGACCACCTCGTGATCCACCTGCAGACCCTTAGCCAGATTCCTCCCAAGGAGCCTGGAGGACATGGGAGGACGAGGGGCGGGGGAGGCACCTGACATTACTCAGGGAAGGGCCTGAAGAGAGCCCCGCGCCCCAGCCTTCCAGGATGCAGGGCGGTCTGTCCGCCCAATCCCGGGCGCCAGCCGCACTCCGCTTTAGAGACGGGAGCCTGGCTCCGCACCCACCTCCGGAGCCAGCCTGGCTCGGGGCGCTCTGTGTGCGGCGGGCGCTCGGCAGCTCCCTCTCCCATGGCTGAGGGCTCCCAACCTCCGGGGGACCCATGGGGAGGAGGGAATGCGCTCTGCTCAGGAACAGTGCTCCCCCACACAGTGCTTACGGCCGGGGCAGTGTGAGCAGTCTCTGTGCGCGCAAGGGACAGAGAGAGCGGTCATTTGAAAACTCATCACCCATCAAAAGGATCTGAGGTACCATGTCCTAGTGGTACTCATGTGTTTTAAATCAGGATCAAACTGCCATCAATGAAAGGCTGGTTTACTGATGATCTCTAAGCCAATAAAATATATTATTCTTGTGTTATGTCTGTATAATAACTCGCTTTCTCTTTTTTTAATTCCAAGTACAACTGAACCGTGGGGAAATGTGCTGAGTAGGTGGTTACTAAGAAAACGTGGACCTGTCAGGCCTTAACAGTGACTGCTCTGGACCTGCTGGGAGACGCCTCTGCAGGGAGCAGCGGGGCTGTCACAGCCTGGCCTGGCCTTGGCCTGCCCCGTCCAGGCCTGTCACCACAGGCAAATCCCCCGCACCTGGACCTATGGGAACTGGATCTGAAGCCCAGATCACCCCAATGTCACCCACTGTGTGATCGGCTCTGGGCACCCTCTGCCTCAACCAGGGGAGCCCCGCCCACACACCGCAGCGCCGTCCTCCTACCTTGTCTGCCAAGATGGCCAGTGTCCTTTCGAGGCCAGTGGCAGACCTGTCCTTGGCCGCCCTGGAGAGCCGCTCTGCGTAGTAGCTCACTTGGGTTTTCAGGGTGTTGATCTGGGCGATGATTTCCTTGGCTCTGACGACGTCCTGTGGGATGTAGACGATGGACTGGCAGCTGGACGACGTACTAAGAGAGGTGAGAACAGGTCGATGAGGCTTTCGCGCCCCCCACCCAGCATGCAACCAACACAAACAAAGCACTGTCTCTCTGGGACGGGTCCTGGGAGGGGGATGTCACAGGCGGTCCTTTCTGTCTGTATGGCAGAAGCTGAAAATACTAACATACATTAAGCCTCCTATTGTTTGTCTGTATCTGTATTTGGACCATGTGTAGGGACCTTGTGCGCAAATATTAAACCAGAAATTCCCTCATCTGTCGAATCTCAGCAGGACTTAAGTGGAGACACGAGGTCTGCTGGTGCCCAAAGGGGTCCGTTGTCATAGTGAGGGGAGACTTCCATGGGTGCTAGACTTTGCCAAAAGGATCCTTGATTTTCCATTGGGCCAATTGGGACTTCAAGCCTGCTGTGCCCACACACAGCTCTCCTCCCTCCCAGGTCTGAGCCCAGCAAACCCTCAGAGACCGGCTTCCTCCCTCCCCTCCCCTCTCCAGGACTTCCCCACACTGAAATGGGAAGGGGCAGAGCGTGCCACGCCAGAGGCCGCCCTGGACACCGGCTCTTGTCAAACCTGGGAGCTTTGGAAACCTGCGTCTTCCTCCCACTCCGCTTCCTCGCCACCAGGCAGTGTGTGTATCTTTGGATCTGAGGTCAGAGCTACAGCACAGCCATTGCCAGACACAGATAAACACCAGCCTCGAGAGCGGCCAGCGTCCCGGCAGCGAGGGCCTGCTGTCATGGCGGCCCTTCCAGGCAGAGATGGTAAATTGTACGTCTCTCAGCTAAGATCCCAAATCAACCCAATATTATACACAGGTTTTTCACACTGTGTGTGGAAGCCGAGGAAGGCAGGGAGGGGAAGGATGAGGCGCCAATGCAGAGGTCTCTCCACAGGTGGGCGTCGTGGGCTCTGGGTGTCCCTGCTTCACTGAATGAGGGCCCTGCTGGTTCCCTCAGAGCAGCCCACCAGGCTTGGGGGACGAGAGAGAAGGTGGAGAGCTACACCCCGTCACCTTCTCTGGAGATGGGGGTGATCTGGCAGGGCTGAGAGCCTCCCCAATGGGCTCTTTCCAGGGCTGGCTACTCATTATCCAAGTCACCATAAAACGGCCCGCCCCTTCCCCGGATGAAGTATGGGGTGAGCATGCAAAAAGAAAAACCCAAAGCACCCCGAAGGAAAGCACACCACAAGCCACACACCACCCCCGAGACCTGCCGGAAGCCATGCAGCAGCCGGCGTGGTCGCTCGAGTGCTCACGCGACCTTCCAACCTGCAATCCCTCTTCCACACGAAGAGCTGCCGTGTCAGACCATTCGATCGTCAAAAACAATCTCAGACAGAATTTAAGGACCTCTAATCCGCCCAGTCCCCGGCATTTAGAGTGCACATGTAATGTGTGCTGTACACAGACACCCATGTGTGCGCCTGAGTGTCCACTGCCACACACGTGTACCTGCCCTGCGCCCAAGAGAGGCGTCTGGGCCTTCTGCACGGGGAGACGGTAGCTTCAAAGAGCTGCCATTCGGGGTGACCATGAAAGTGTGAGCACGTGTGCCCATGCCCGGTCCTCCCTGGGAAAGCCGAGGCCTGAGCCTGGCAGGCTCCTCGGGGCTTCCTGTGCCAGACGTCCCGGAGCCCAGCATCTCAGACAGGGCCCAGCCCCAGCCCAGCCTCGCCCGCTCGGCGGGGGGATCGATCCCAAAGGCTGGAGGTGCCTCCGGGGCTGCCAACTGAGGAAGTGCCACTACAACGCCCGTTGTGGGCATGCCCGGGGCCCGGAGCAGCAGGGGAACCCCAGGCAGCAGACATGACGGCTTTGGCTGCCATCTAACTCTGGCGGAAAGTCACTTAGTTATCAGTTCTTGGTTAATACTGATACTAATAACACCGTTTTAAAATATGTCTAAACTATTAAGTATCATGAAAATGTAAGCTGGCTTCACTCCCCAGGTGCTGGTGAGGTGAGGTGGAGCTGGAGAGGTCTCAGCGCCCTCGGTGTGGTCAGGGCATCCCGGCTCCGAGCGCGGCCTGGGCTCCCAGCCCCGGGAGAAGCAGAGCAGGTCTGCCCTCGGCGGAGCACAGCAACAAAGGCTCCATCTTAAAGACAAAGCAGGCCCTGGGCAGGCTATTCATCGTCCGAGAACATTGCGGTTGGAAGGGAGCGGCGCCGGGGCCTCCGCGCCAGCCGCAGCGGCCGAGGCTGAGGCACTCTCGGGGGAGGGGACAGACAGCACAGGCTTCTCTGCATGAGAGCAAGACCAGACAGACTCTCCACAGACAGAAAACTCACCAACACTCCTCAAAACTGCTAAAGAAAAGAACCAAAATGAAATATTAGCATGTGTTAGCAAACACCAGATGCAAAACAAAAATTTAAAAGCCCGGTTTTGTCAAAACACTTGAATTTGATGGTGGAAGGACAACGCATGAGCCCGGTGCTCATCCTGACAGCCTCGCCAGCACCTGTGGGCGCGGTGCGGCTGCACCTGAGGTGTCAGTGAGGAACCCCGCCCCCACCAGTCTCTGACATTAGCAGGACATTACACAGAAAGTCATAGTATACATTTGAAAATACCACCGAGGCATATAGGGGCTGAGTGTTCTGAAGTTAGCACGCGGTGTGATCAGGCATGAGCACGCCGACCTGCCGGGGACGAGGACAGCCGGGAACACCCCTCTTGACGGGCTTTTCCCTCCAGGGCCCTGTGCCACCCTCAACTCACACGCTCACACTCCACACTCCCCATGCAATGGTGTGACACACACGGATCTCTGCTGGCTGTGCAGCTGTCACATGTCCAGAGACATACGAGGCAGTGGGCCCACAGCGGGCTGGCCATCTGGCTTGTCTGAGCAGGAAGGGCCTTGGAGGGGATGTGTCGAGGTGGACAGGCTGTCTGGAGCCTCCCCCTCCCAAGGCCGGAGCTCCCCTTCCAAACCAGGCCCTTGCTGCTCCCCCTTCTCCCGCCTCCAGGGCAGCCTGAGCCCCCATCTGCACGGACACGCCTCACAGTGCTCCCTCCCTCCGCTCACCTGTCCCCTCAGCCTCAGCGCCATGGCCGGGGACACTCCTAGCTGCATCCCCGCACCTGACCTTTCAGCCACCCCTATTCCAGGCCAAGGTCCGTGTTCTCCAGCCGCGTCCTGACTCCCGGCCACGGCAGCACAGAGCCAGGCCAGGGCCTCGGGCTCCGGCGCCTGCTAACACTCTCCATCTGACCCCGGGAGCGGATTCCCTTGCCATTCCCTGGGCCTTCTCTCCACCTTCCCACAGACCAGTGGTCGGCAAACTGCAGCTCGCGAGCCACATGTGGCTCTTTGGCCCCTTGAGTTTTTAGCAAAGGCCAGCTTAGAAGTCCCCTAATTAAGTTAATAACAATGTACTTACCTATATAGTTTAAGAAATTTGGCTCTCAAAAGAAATGTCAATCGTTGTACTGTTGATAGTTGGCTCTGTGGACTGATGAGTTTGCCAACCGCTGCCTTAGACTGTCCGTTCCCAGGGGGTGTGACCTTCCACTCCGCATTCTGCAGAGGCTGTTCCACCCAACCTCAGCTGCTCTTCCCGCCGCAAAACTGCCTGCAGCCTCCGCTTCTGCCTGCAGCCTCCGCTTCTGCCTGCAGCCTCCGCTTCTCCACGCCCCTGGCTCCCTGCCTGCTCCTGCCTCTTCCACCTTCTCCAGAACCAGCTCGGCCCATGTTCTCCTCTGTCTGCCTCACTCACTCCCATCTTTCCTTTAGGCCTCAACACATTCACGTCACAATCGTCCTCCCCAAGCCTGAGTCTTTCATTCTCTATTTCAGGTCCCAGGATCTCACCGTGTCCCCGACACTCACCACCTCCACTTCCTCACTCCCATCCCTTAACTGATTTAAATCCTGACATTCTGGAGATCACCTCCCCCGGGCCCCACACACTAGCTCGGATTCACAGGTCCCTTCCCGCCCCCCCCTGCTGCCCGCTCCACAGCACCCTGTGTGCTTGCTCCCACGCACACACTGCTCACTCCAGGCCACTCTGCCAGCCCCACCCCCTGCTCACCAGCCACGGCCCCACTGAGGCCACTCTCCTCCCGCTCCTCTCCCCAAAGCACCGCTCTGAGCACAAGGGAATCTGCTCTGCGCCGCCTGCCCCACCTGCTGCCTGGCAGCTTCCTGCTCGGCGCCGCAGGTCCTTTTGGGAACGGGGAACGGTTCCCCACAGCGCCCCTCAGGAAGGAGCAGCCTCTCCCAGGCTCACACCCCAGGACGCTCACTGATGGCCAGGGACTCTCGGGACAGCAGCGCCAGCAGTCCACTGAGGGCAGCTGCCGCCAGGAGCACCGCCTGCAGGTGATGTCAGTGTGCAGGGAAGGACTACTGACCAGTGGCCCGCCCGCCCGCCCGCTCAGTGCGCACACAGAGCAGTGCAGGGTGTGTGAGGCAGCCTCTCACCACGCAAAAGCAGGCTAAGGGCTGGATGCTTTGTGGTCATATTCTAATTTTTTTAACCGAGGGAGCATCAGACAGCTAAACAAGGACCATGAACACCCCAAGAACTTACTGTTTCTTGGTCTCTTCAAATTTGTGCAGCTTTTTGCGGAGGCCTCCTGATTTAAAACCTTGGCAGTGAGCGGCTGGCGCCCCGATGGTGACGATGTCGTAGCTCTGATCTGAGTGACAGAAAGCTCCTTCGTTACTGGGCTTGGGCCTGTGGAGGAGCCAGCTACAGGATGTGCACACAGGTCTGGGCCTGACGCTCCCCCAGGCCCACGCAGACCACACAGCCTGGGCTGTCCCGAGGCCCCTAACCTCCCAGGGTGAAGCCACACGGGCCTGGAGGCAACACACAGCCTGCATCCTACGTGGGGAGGATGCCTGACGGGCAGCTTCCTGCCACAGAAACACAGGAAGCTGGGCGGGGGAGAACGAGAGGAAGGGCTTTGTGCTCGGAATGAAGACCTTACAAAGGCCCTGAGATGTGTCTCTCATCGAGCTGCCCAGCAGGACACGCAGGCACGGCTGGTGCAGATGTGGGGCAGCGCAGGGCCCACGTGCACAGGGGGCAGTGACGGGGGTTCCACAAGAGGGACCGCAGTTACCTGATCCTCCATCGTCCTGAACCCTCATCCTCTGTATGTGCAAGTTTGTGGGAACAAATTCCAACTTTTTATCTGCTTTCAAACTGCTCGCTTTAAACGAGGGACCTAAGAAACAGAATATTCAGAAAACCAAGGGCATCAACATGTATCCCGCACCCACGAACGGCAAGTAGGAAGGGGTGCGGTGGGGGTGCTGCTCAGAAAGCAGGCTGGGGGGGGTCACAGCCCTGGCCATTCCGAGTTGCCTATGAGCGCCTTTCATTCCCAGACACTGAGGGCGGTGGCGCGCAGGCGGCCGGCTGGCTCTGGTGCTTAGGTGGGGAGTGGAGGCGGGAGGCAGCCTCAGGAGGTGCCTGCCACCCGTGACTCGGCTCGTCAGAGAGGCTGACACAGGAGGAGGCTCTGTGCTGCAGGCTGCCAGCAGCACTATAAAAAGCAAGGCCCACGCCGGGACTGCCTGCTCCAGCTCCGGAGGCTGCCATCATCCAAGACCTCGGGGACTGGCTCAACCAGAGCAGCACTTCTCAGTTCTGAAAGTGATGACAAGGTCTGCTCACACCGGGCTGTGGGGATGGACAGGCGCTGGGCAGCACCAGTTCTGGCCGCTAGAAGGCAAACTCACACAGGCCCCCCTGCACACACTGGGTGGTCGATGTTGTGTGACCAACATCTGCGATCTGATTTCCACAGTCAAAATCTGTAACTAATACAGGAACTCCATGTCAGAAGAGAAAGGAATTACGCTGGCAATCAGAGGGTAGAGGAGATAAAGGCGAAGAAAGGAAGATGTGTTTTGCCAGCACACAAAATACAGGCAGGCACTGTCTGCTCTGCAAGAGGCTGCTCACTGGGCACGTACGGTGGCCCCGGCCCCGGCCGCGGGGAGCCTGCTAGGATCGCAGAATCTGGTGTCAACAAACTGGGCATTCAGACACAGTGACACTGAGAGGCTCTGCTCCACAAAACCCGGGCTGGGCGGAGTCGGACTTCCCAGGTAATTGGCATCCAGCCTGGCAGGTCCCTGCGTTCCTCCAAACGCTGCCTTTTGTCTTAGAGATACACTGGGATCTGTTCTTCAGATTCCAAGCAAACCAGGGCACCGGCATCTTATTATCACCTCTGTGTTCACTTCTCCTCAGCCAAGTTCATGGGCACGCTCCCACGTTATGTGTCAAAAGTACGTTAAGGGCTTACCGTTTTCTTTCAACCCTGAAAATGCATTATGAAGAGCAGGAGGGAAGAGTCTAAAGACAGGGAATAAAGTAATGAAAAGCACCCTCTACCCCCAAATCACCCTGTTTGGAATAAAAAGGGAGTAAGTTAAGAATAGTCTTCTAAACCTTCCCTGAGAGTGTTCTGAAAATCAAATGGCATCTTTCAAGAAAAGGTGAGGCGTCTGCACTTCATTCTCCCCTTGGGACCTTAAAGCAGTGAATTCACTCAATGTATGTGTTCAGTGAAGTGCCAGTGTTAGACAGGGACCTGGAGAAACTTGTGGAAGGCACAGGGCCTCCATCCTCCGGGCATCTCACTGGCATCAGACCCTCTGGTCTCTGAAATCTCACTGCACGGTGGTTGTTTTAGCACATGACACCTTGGAAGGAATTTTCAATGTAATTCACAGACTTGCCTTCTTAACTAGGATCTGAAAAATCTAAATTTTAGAGAACTCACACCTCCATGAGAATCTATTTTTAAAAATCCATTTGAGTGTCTGCCAGGGTGACTATCGGGCGCTCCTGGGGTGCAGATTCCTGTGGGAACACGGAGAGCGTGTGTGTCATGGCGGAGACGCCCGGTGCCCACCTTTGTACTGATGCAGGTCAGTCAGGTTCTCCTGGTACGTGAGGATGATGGTCTGGTACTGAGTGACGATCTGGCGCCGGAGGCTCTCCCAGCAGGGAGACAGCTCCCCCAGCTCCTCCAGTTCACACACTCTGCAAGCGAGACACAGGCGTCAGGCCCAGGGCTGCACCGCCCGGAAAACACAGTGCCCACAGAAGCATCAGATGCCAGGGAGGGCCGGCACCGGAGTCAGGCCGCACAGCAGGGGCGTGAGGGGCTCCCCAGGAGGAAGGGCTGCACGAAACGCAGACCCCCGACCACAGGGCAAGTGCACAGAGAAGCTTCTTACAGAAACTTAGCCAAATGTTCGAGGCAAACCAAGTGGAGGAGCGGAGAGGAGAGCGGCTCCACCTGGGCCCGACACCCTGGCTCCTGCAGAAACCACAGGGCGAAGGCTCAAGCTGCGGCCACTGGGCCTGGCAGAGCAGTGACCTGTGACCCTCCCAAACGCAAGAGCTGGAGACCTGTAAGTAACTGCTATGATTTGTTGTCTCCAGAAAAGTAACAAAACACAAGATTAATTAAAAAAAAAAAAAAAAGAAGAAGAAGAAGAACCACTTTAGGAACCTGGGTAGCAGGAAAGTATAAAAAGACTAAAATCCTCATTTTATAGGAAATCAATAGCTAATCCCTGAACCTAATTAAAAGTACTCTACCCATATATTGCATATATTTAGGAATACAGCAGTTAACACTAACATGGATAACCCTGAGACTTACGTTCTTAACAGTCTTGGGGCAGTATTTAGCTTTTTATATTATGCACATTTTCCTTTGAAGGGAAAAAAAAACCTAATTTATAGAAGTTTTTAGGAATCTACTAAATTGTCTGATATTAGCCGAAACTGGTTTAGCTCAGTGGATAGAGCATGGACCTGCGGACTGAAAGGTCCAGGGTTCGATTCCAGTCAGAGGCATGTACCTTGGTTGCGGGCACATCCCCAGTGCAAGAGGCAGCTGATCGATGATTCTCTCTCATCGATGTTTCTACTCTCTATCCCTCTCTTCCTCTCTGTAAAATATCAATAAAATATATTTTAAAAATTAAAAAAAAATTGTCTGATATTAAAAAAAACACTGTACTACTTTACTGTTATACTAGAGGCCTGGTGTACAAAATGTGTGCATGGTGGGAGTCCCCTTAGCCCAGCCTGCACCCTCTCCAATCTGGGACCCCTGGGGGGATGTCCAACTGCCAGTTTAGGCCAGATCAGGTCTAAACTGGCCATCGGACATCCCTCTACAGTCCTGGACTGCTGGATCCTAATCGCTCACTTGCCTGCCTGCCTGGTCGCCCCTAACTGTCCCCACCCTGCTGGCCTGATCACCCCTCATTGCCTCTGTGTGCCAGCCTGATCACTCCTAACTGCCCAACACCCCCTGCCAGCCTGGTCACCCCTTACTGTACCCCCTGCTGGCCTGGTCACCCATAGCTGCCCCCTCCCCCCTCCCCCCTGTAGGCCTAATCACCCTTCATGCGCCACCCCTCTCCCCCCCACCCCCCCGTTGCCGGCCTGGTTGTCCCACACAGCCTATGGTTCAGTCATTTGGTTGTCCCTCACTAACCCCCCTGCCATAGGCAGCCATCTTCTGAGGGTGTGAGGGTCAATTTGCATATTACCTCTTTATTATATAGGATTAGCAAAAATAACGTACCCTGGCTGGTGTGGCTCAGTTGGTTAGAGCATCGACCTGTACACTAAAAGGTTGTGAGTTTGATTCCCGGTCAGGGTACATACCCAGACTGCAGGTTCGATCCCTGGTTGGGCATGTACAGGAGGCCACTGATCTGTTTCTCTCTCCCTTCCTCTGGCTGCCAAATCAACTACAGCGTGTCCTTGGGTGAGGACTTAAAAAGTCAATGTAAAAGGACCCGGCACAGGCCAGGCTGGGGGGCTTGGGGGGAGCAGTATCCTCACTCCGAGGCCCACTGGCTCCAGCCTCAGCTCGCTCACCCGCACCCTGTGGTCCCTCTGGATGTCTCTGCTGTGCTTCATGTGGCTCCTCCTTATGCTCCTGGAGTCAGTTTAATGTCAGAGGCCTGCTCAGACCACCCTCCCTTCCAGGCCCCCTTTCACTTTCTGCGGACACATCGGGGCTCCGTGTGTGGCCCCCAGTTCTGTTAATGACTGTCCCCCGGGGTGTCTCGCACAGCACCTGCCATGTGACGAGTAGAAAACAGCACAACCCTCGAAAGCAAAGTGCTTATGTGAACAGGCTCTGAGCACAGCGTGTGAGAGCACACACCGAGCACCAATGGGAAAATGGTGCCCTAACTAGGAATGGTAAGGGAAGGTACGTGGTAGCTCTGTGTAAAGACACAATATGGAAAAGCTGAAAGGAAAAAAGTAAAAATTAAAATACATATAAACTATGTATGAATAGAGAGAAAGCAGCTCTGTATTTCTTGCCATTTTTCTTTTAAGTTTGATTTTTTCAAGATGAAAATTTAAAATGAAACATTTGTGTTAAAAAGGTAGGATGGTGGCTGCAATGTTTTCTTTCATGTTTGTTACACTGTGTCTGTAATTAACGCCGCTTTATGACAAGGAGCAGTCATGACAGTGAAGGGCGAGCCCCGGCCTCTCCCTGCCGCGGCACCAGTGGGCGTGCCCTGAGCTGGAAGGACGCCCCAGGGGGTCCTGCTCAACTTCCCAGAGCCCGTATCACGGGGGCTGCCCACGCAAACTGCTGGCCCGGGCGGCCACAACTGAAGAATGACCAGCTACTTTTAACTTCCTGAGGCCCAGAGCGGTGGAAGGAGAGGGAGCGGGTACCGAGAGCCGGGCAGGTCTAGTGAAGTCTCCGCACAGAACCCCCAGGACGCAGATGAGCAAACGGGGCTGTGGGAGCCCAGGCCACAAAGCCACCCAGGCAGAGGCTGGCCTGTCACCTGGCCTGTCTGGGCCAGTCTCTGTCCGCCGCCCACATCTAAGCTTTCCGAAGGCACACGGCGCGGCCTGGTGGGTGGGCAGCCGCTCCACCTGGCCTCACCTGGCCGCGTCTTCCTCCAGCAGCAGCTTCACGAACTGCCGGGGCACGTGCAGGGAGAGCACGCTCTCCGCCATCTGCTCCAGGATCCGCAGGTGGTTGCCGTCGGTGGTGGGGAAGCGGTACATGCGGCAGATGGCGCCGCCGAACACTGAGGGACGGGAGACAGAGACTGCGTGAGCAGGCTGCAGACCCGGGCGGGTCCTGACTGTTCATCTCAATTAAACGTCTAAACCACATGTGTCAAACACAAGGCCCGCGGGCCAAATCCGTCCCGCCAGGCCTTGCAATGTGGCCCACACCGCGCTGTCATCACTGCACTCCGCTGCGTTTCCATCACAATGACAGTTTATGACTGTTCAGTAAACCATTCGGCCCGCGATTTAGGCTGGATTTTAGATTTTGGCCCCTTCTCTGATTGAGTTCGACACCCCTAGGACTCTAAACCAAAAGCCCACCAGCTGACTGAGCCTGAATGCTCTTCCCTGGGACATGCAATCCCCTTGTCCCAGAATGCATCACTAACTCCCAAATACAAGGCTGTGCCGGTGAGCCGGCAGCCACGAAGGCCAGCGTTGGCAAGAGACAGGGAGGCGGGGAGGCAGCGCCTCCTTGGAGGTTTACCAACTCGCTAAACGCTGGCAAAGGAAGCTCCGAGGAGCCGGCTGGCGTGGCTCAGTGGCTGAGCAGCGACCTATGAACGGGATTTCACAGTTCAATTCCAGGTCAAGTCATATGCCCGGGTTGTGGGCCCGAAACCCAGTGCGGGGCAGCCGACCAATGATTCTCTCTCATTATTGATGTTTCTATGTCTGTCTCCCTCTCCTTCCTCTCAGGAATCAATAATTTTTTTTTTTTTTTTTTTTAAGAAAAAGAGCTCAGCAGAGAGGAGCCCATCGGGCGCACGGCCGTGGCAGCCACAGCAGGGGGTGGAGAGGGTGACCAGGGACATCCCCGAGACGGGCAGAGGGCCAGGGAGGAGTCTGCTTACCCGATTTCAGTAAAGTGTCTTTACGCAAGGAAGCATATTTGGATCGGATTCCCAGCGCTTCGGTCAAGCTCTCGTCCACGGGCAGGACCATCTAGTGACACGTACAGGAAAGCACAAGCAGCCGTGAGCGCAGAGGTGGCGGCTGCCAGACCTCATAACAGAGCTCTCCAGGCGAACGGCACCGTCAGCTCTGCACTGAACAGGTCACCGAGGCCACAGACTGGCCAACCCATGTCCCCGCACAGTGACCGTGCCCCACTCAACACTTTCCAGAAACGAATGTCTTTTGACTGCGTCATTTCACCTCATATTTCAGAGTGCTGACGTGTAAAGTACAGGGAGGGAAAGTGATACCCAGAAATGTTTCCACGGCTGACGTCCCGGGCTCATTTGGGGTGAAAGGAGCTATGTCTGTACTTTAAAATGATATGTACCAGTGCTTGATTCTAAATTGGAATTCTAGTCTGAGAGCACAGATTGTTTCTGAACGTGAGAGAGAAAGAAGGCGAGGAGACAGCATGGGAGGGGAAGGGAATGGGAAGACAGAGCCCGCGAGGGGGTGTGAGAGGCTGCAGGGTGTGCAGACTTGAGATGTGTGTGCATGAGGCGACCATGAGCACCTGAGTCCCTGGGAGAGGAAGATACTAACAGATACCGAAGGCAGTCTGGGTCTCACTCCCCACCCCCACCCAGCCACCTCTCTCCCCTCCTGACTGCACCCTTCTCCTCTCCCCGCTCCTGACTGCACCCCCTCCACACCCTCCCCCCTCCTGACTGCACCCCCTCCTGAATGCACCCCCTTCACACCCTCTCTCCTCCTGACTGCACCCCCTCCACACCCTCTCCCCTCCTGACTGCAGCCCCTCCACACCCTCCCCCCTCCTGAGTGCACCCCCTCCCCCCTCCTGACTGCACCCCCTCCACACCCTCCAACCTGACTGCACCCCCTCCACACCCTCCCCTCCTGACTGCACCCCCTCCACACCCTCCCCCCTCCTGACAGCACCCCCTCCACACCTTCTCCCCTCCTGACTGCACCCCCTCCCCCCTCCTGACTGCACCCCCTCCACACCCTCCCCCCTCCTGACTGCACCCCCTCCCCCCTCCTGACTGCACCCGCTCCTGACTACACCCCCTCCACACCCTCCCCCCTCCTGACTGCACCCCCTCCTGACTGCACCCCCTCCACACCCTCCCCCCTCCTGACTGCACCCCCTCCTGACTGCACCCCCTCCACACCCTCCCCCCTCCTGACTGCACCCCCTCCTGACTGCACCCCCTCCACACCCTCTCCCCTCCTGACTGCAGCCCCTCCACACCCTCCCCCCTCCTGACTGCACCCCCTCCACACCCTCCCCCCTCCTGACTGCACCCCCTCCACACCCTCCCCCCTCCTGACTGCACCCCCTCCTGACTGCACCCCCTCCACACCCTCTCCCCTCCTGACTGCACCCCCTCCACACCCTCCCCCCTCCTGACTGCACCCCCTCCTGACTGCACCCCCCTCCACACCCTCCCCCCTCCTGACTGCACCCCCTCCACACCCTCCCCCCTCCTGACTGCACCCCCTCCACACCCTCCCCCCTCCTGACTGCACCCCCTCCACACCCTCCCCCCTCCTGACTGCACCCCCTCCACACCCTCTCCCCTCCTGACTGCACCCCCTCCACACCCTCTCCCCTCCTGACTGCACCCCCTCCTCCCTCCTGACTGCACCCCCTCCGCACCCTCTATCCTCCTGACTGCACCCCCTCCACACCCTCCCCCCTCCTGACTGCACCCCCTCCACACCCTCCCCCCTCCTGACTGCACCCCCTCCACACCCTCCCCCCCTCCTGACTGCAGCCCCTCCTGACTGCACCCCCTCCACACCCTCCCCCTCCTGACTGCACCCCCTCCACACCCTCCCCCTCCTGACTGCACCCCCTCCACACCCTCCCCCTCCTGACTGCAGCCCCTCCGCCAGGTTGCCCCATTCAGAGGAGGCCCGTGTGGCCCGGGCAGAGCGGGCTCCAGGGCAGCAGAGCCTGAGGGCTCCCTTCTCCCCCGGTGAGAGCGCCGGGGACTGGCAGGTCCTGTGACGGGCGGCAGCGCAGCCCCCCTGCTCCCCCTGCGGCGGAGGCAGAGCCCATCAGACAGGGGCCGTCACTCCTTCCGTGACGGGTGCTCACCCTCCCGTTGACGGTGTCCAGAGTCCGGGTCACTGGAGGCCGCTGGTCTGACTTCTCCTCCATCTGCCAGCCGATCACCGTGATGTTACCCACACGGTCACTCTCCGCAGACCTGCAACGAGCCACGCGCTTTGGGAAGTGGCGTCGTGGGGCTCCATTTCTGCGTCAGCTCAGCATCCTGTCCCCGAGGTCCAGGGCGTGCCAGGGCCTGGCCGCCAGCCGGGCAGCCTTTGCTGCACGCCCAGACCCGGGGGGGGGCGGGGGGTGACGGGACACAGACGGGAAACCAAAGCTCCAGGGGAAGTGCGAGCATGCCCGGTGATGCTGAGGGGGAACCCGTGCTTGGCCCCCTGGGCTGAGCCCTGCCCCAGGCAGCAGCAGGGACACGTCTGGAAACCAGGACTGGAGAGAACCTTCTTCTGGGACCAGACCCTTCCTGCTCCTTCCCGACCGTCCTCAAGCTTTCTTTTTGCTTTTGCTTTTTTTAATATATTTTATTGATTTTTTACAGAGAGGAGGAGGGAGGGATACAGAGTTAGAAACATCGATGAGAGAGAATCATCGATCAGCTGCCTCTTGCACACCCCCCTACTGGGGATGTGCCCGCAACCAAGGTACATGCCCTTGACCGGAATCGAACCTGGGACCTTTCAGTCCGCAGGCCGACACTCTATCCACTGAGCCAAACCAGTTTTGGCCCTGCTCAAGCTTTGATTTTCCCCCAGACCAAGGCCTGGACCCCAAGTCAGCTGAGGTCACCCAGGGTTTCCCAAAGCCTGTAATTCCTGGCGCGATACAGCTGATGCCCCTCCAGCAGGCCAGGTTCACCCTAGACTGCAGGAGGGCTGCAACCTGGCCCATCTGGCTCAGCCAGGGGCGCCCGGGCTTGTATGAGATGTCTGACCGAGCCAGTCCTAACGGACATGTGGTCACCGCCGGTGCCAATCGCCTTTGTGACTCAGTGTCCTCATGCCGGAAAGTCCTTTCCCCGCACCATCCCAACGGTCATCCTCAGCTCCTTTACAAAGGACGATCGGTGCCCACTTATTACGTGTGCTCGGGTCCAACTGGGATTACTCCGGCACATCGTGTACCTGGCTATTTTCCTCTACAGCCCCTGTCCCCACGCCCTCTCGTTTCCCTAGGACTCTTCCTCTCTCCCCGTCAGGTCTCCACACGCACCAGGCGCCTCAGGACTCTCGTCCTGCCTGATGCCGGCGGCACCGGTGCCCCCATGGCGCAGAGTCAGTGCAGGGAATTGATCCTCTTTGCCAACATTTCCTTCGCTATTTTGGAATGTTTTCCCAATTTTCACATTTTGAAAACAAGAACACCAAGTCAGGGTTTGGATGGGAGTTGCCCCTAAAATGAATTTGGGAAGGGTTGCCATCCTGACATTTTTCTCCCAGAGACATGGTGGGGGCCCCGCCTCCCCCTCCCCCCTCCCCCCCAAGTATTTACTGAGCCCTAAGCCCTGTCACATGTGCTTAGGATACAACAATGAGCAAAACAGACAAACCCCTGCTTTCTGGGAGCTGACACTGCTGGGGAGGAAGCAGACACTATAAGCTTATCTGGTCAATCAGATGTGATCCAGGTCTTCCTTCAGGTCTGAGTCCAGCTGTGCTCAGACTTACTACGGTGCCACATGTGCCCACCTCCATTAGCCCTCTGACGGGCTATTTGCTTTCCCTTCAGTGACAACCACTCCCTGCTAAGACCAGCCCCTGGGAGAGGCAGGAAATGAGGCCCTTTCCCACCAGTCCCTGGACCTCCAGATCCTTTCAAAGGAACAGAATTAAATACCAACCTCAGTGTTAAATGCAACCGATGATGCCTGTCCTGGAGCAGGTCCTTGACAATAAAGGTCCCGGAGCCCAGCAGGTACATCTGAGGCAGAAGGAACACAGCGTGAGCCCGGGCTCTGCCTCGGCCCCATGCCCAGGCCGGGGCACGCTGGCTGCTGCCTGAGCACCTCTGACCCCACTGCAGGAGCCCACAGGGACGCGCGGGAAGAAATTCTGAAGGCCAATCCCAGGTGAGCCAGCAGCGAAGCCAGTGGCAGGTGCTCCTCTCACTGAAATGACTCGCTGAAAAGCGAAGAGAGGCCCCTGAATCACACGCTACTTAACTGTTCCCTGAGATCTGTCTTTGACGTCGTACACGGAGAGCTTGATCTGCGTCATCTGATTGATGAGGGAGTCTTGGAAGAAGGCAATGCTGCTTAAGAATATAGGGTTGTTGGTTCCCTAGAACGGAAAAGAAAATCCTCAGAACACAGAGTTGAATTTTTAAGTTATTACTCATTTCACAATGAGAAACTGACATCCTTACCAACTTGGATCAACATTTGCTCATGGCCGCCTAAACGAATGCAGTCAACCAAGACCCTGCTTTTCAAGAAGGATGAAGGCGTCCCACAGACCCTCCCCGCCCAGACACGGGGGCCCCTCAGCAGGAGGCTTCTTCAGCATGGAAACAGGTGGACGTTCACGTGTTGTTCAACTGGAGAGATACACTATGCAATTGCATCTACTGCTTTGGGCTGTTCCTGTAAGGTGTCCAAGGCGGATGGGAGGAAATGAATAGCTAAGTCGTTTCTTACTTCCAGAATCCTGTGGTTTGGGATAATGAAGGCCTGACCTATTTAAACCTGAGAACTAGCTGCTAGTTTCTAGATCACAGGTGGTTTCTCCTGGCAGTTTGGCCTCGCTCCCTGCCCCAAAGCCCCACAGTAACATACTCCCTTTCTCAGGCAGCGTTAGTTACCTCAGCCAAACGGCTCACGCTGCACCTGTGCGGGGGCTATGCCTGTGGCTGAGCCCCTCTGCAGCTCCAGATCCAGTCTCCACGCCTGCTGGACAGCGCCCACCCTCCCTCTGCCCTGCTTAACCACTGACTCTCCTCCCTGGGAGGCTACAAACGTGGGCATCTGCCTCGGTACCTCCTTCTCGTCATTCTCAGCCTCCAAGTTACAATAAACCTCCATAAACCTACTCTCACCCTGGCCAGTGTCCTCAGTGGTTAGAGCATCAGCCCGAGCACTGAAGGGGCTCGGGTTCAATTCCCGGTCAAGGGCACATGCCTGGGTTGCAGGTTAAATCCCTGGCCCAGGTTGGCACATGCAAGAAGCAACCAATTGATGTGCCTCTCTTACATCGATGATTTTCTCTCTCCCTCCCCCTCCCCTTCTCTCTCCCCGCCCTCTCTTTCCCCCTTCTACCCTCTCTAAAAATCAATGGGGAAAATATACTCTTTCGGGTGAGGATTAACAAAACAAAACAAAAAATTAAAAACCCTCTCTCACAGGCACCCCCGCCCCTCCTTCCCAACGTGTCAGGTGCCACATTGCACTCCCTCAACACTTCTGGTCAGGTGACCCTCATGTAGAACTCCCAGCCTGACTTCTGAGGCTCCCCCCTTGCTCTCCACCTGTGCCTTCTGCACACACTGACCAGGCTGACGTTATTCTCCGAGCCACATGATGCTCCCCACCGCCATTACAGACTCTGCAATGCTCTGCAGCATGTGGTCCCTAGACCGGCAGCTGGCCATGACCTGGAGCCTGGGAGAAACAGAGTCTTAGGCTCCACTGACCTATCGAGTCAGAATTTCATTAGGGGGCGTAGGAAGCCACCTCCGGTCCTCAGAACTGGCTGGGACCCCACCCTCCTGGTGCTAACCTCACCCTTAACACTCCCCGCACTCTGCTGGGTACAGATGCCCACACTCATTCCTGCCCCGCCCTCAGGAAGGCCAGCCTCGTGGGGCAGGGCCGGGCCTCCCTGGCCTCTGCACCCCCCGCAGCACCCAGCCCTGTGCTGCGTGCAGACAGTGCTCAACAAAGGCTCAGGCACAGGACTGCTGACTTGCACGTGGAAACAAGTTTACAAGAGAATGAAAAGGTCTCTTCCAAAATGTAAAGGAGGGCCACGGAGGCAGTGTGGGGAGCCTGCCGGAGACCGCCAGGCCGGACACTCACAGGAGCGCAGGCAGCCACAGGCGCCCGCGGACCCACAGCAACGCCTCCTCTTAGTTTCACAGCCTACACACTGAGCTCAACTGTCTACCCGGCTTCTGTGACAGCCCCAAGGTGAATGCCTAACAGTTACTTTAAGGAAAAAGTAAGTGTGTAATACACAACTCTAAAGGATACAAAATAAAAACCAACAAAAATAGGGGTATGTCCAGTAAGAGAGTTGGTTAAGAGTTACTCTCCAAATTTGATCAATGAGCATAATTTATAAAAGTGGCAGCCAACTGGAAGTGACAAGGAAGAAATGAATCTTCCTCTTAAAAGGCAACCAATTTTATAGCATCCCTGTTCAAAATTAACCAGCCAGTAACTGATCAATAATTGTAAAGGATATGGCAAAAAAAAAGTGCCCTCCAAAACTGTGATGAAAATATCAATTGCTAAAAATACACGGACAACAGCAAGAATTCAGAGAAATGATCCCAGCTGCGGTGCTCAGGTGGTGAGCAGCCTCCCTGGGGGAGCCCTGTCCCCGGCCCCGGCCAGCAGACGCACCTCGATGATCTCGGTCTGCGCGTGCTTCGTCCAGAACGCCTGCGGAGGGGTGGTCACACTCACTGCCACAAAACTATTTGGTTTCCGGTCCAGCGATGGCGTGTGCAGCTCACTACAAGCTATGGAATCGAACGGGAGAGAAAAGAGTCCTTTAAAACCAGGCTCTAGTTAGTTCTCTGTTCCACACGCTCAGGAGCAAAGACAGTAAATGACACTCAGAGGGATGAGGCAATCACACTGTCTATCCGTGTCTCAGGGAACCGACGTTTTTCATTGGAAACAATCTCTTCCCACTCCCCCGACTCCCCCGAGGCCATGGCAGCAGTGCCCTCGCTGAGGGGAAGGTGAGCCAAGGGGCTTTCTGCGCCATGGAATGGAGCACAGAGCCAACACCTCACATGCACACCTAGTGTTCTAAGCATTTTGGAAGCAATGATCAGACTCAGAAGTGACTTACAGGGAAAACGGTCCTATGGCATGGACACCAACACATATCTGTAAAATGCAGTGAGAGAAAAGACCCTCTGCCACGAGACTAGGAAATGCTGCCGACCACAGACACTGTTACAGAAAATCATGAGGAAGCATCCTCCACGGAGCTGATTGCACGTGTGGCAATCGAAGTTCAGCCCTGAAGAAACAGCTTTCCTGGCAGAGCAGTGACCGCCCCGAGTGCTGGGGCACTTGCTTACATTCGGAGTTTTCCAACTGACTTTGACCCTTTGTGTCAGTGCTCTCACTGCCTTTATGGAGGAAAAAATTTTGGAGGGCCTCACACTATTATTCCTGCTCCCATCTTTCTCATTTGATTTTTTTGTTTTTTGTTTTTTGTTAGGGTTAGCGTTAGGGTTAGGGTTAGGGTTAGGATTAGGATTAGGGTTAGGGTTTTTAAAATGCTCAATTTGATTTTTAAAATGCTCTCTAGTGATTTAAAATTTAGAAATTGACTTTTACTTCTGGAAATTAATTTTGGTTCTCTAATTATCCCCTTTATAACATTGTTTAGCACTGCCTCAAAGGTGGGAGATGCTCCGTCACCACCACTTTGCTCACCAGCCATGAGCCGGCTTCTAGGTGAGTGTCACTCCTCCTGTGGGAGCGCAATGACCGCCAGGAGGCAGCTCCTGCATTGGGCATCTATCCCCTGGTGGTCAGTGTGCAACATAGCAAATGGTCTTCTGCCATTTGGCCAATTTGCATACTACTCTTTTATTATCCTATATAATAAAAGACTAATATGCAAATTGTCCCCTTGAGTTTGATTGGGAGTTGACTGCTAGCTATGACATGCACTGACCACCTGGGGGCAGCACAGAACATGGTGGGTGTCGGTGACACAGTGTTGGCAGCCCTGATGGACCCCAACGAGAGCAGAACCGTGATGGAATGGTGGAGCAGGTGAGAGGGCAGCACCAGGCCAAGGCAGGTGCAAAAAGAGGCCCGATCGCCCTGCTGACCACCATCAGCAGTTGGCCACCACCAGCAGTGGGGGGGCAGGACATCTGCCCGGCTCCAAGGTGCTGAGGGAGCCAGGTGGGGGACCTGGTCCCAACTGGTCGCCCTGTAGGAGGGATGGTGGAGCAGGTGAGGGGGCAGTGCCAGGCCAAGGTGGGGTGCCAGGCAGTGCTGCGAGGCTGAGGGTATAAACTGGGCCCAATACCCGCAGGCCACCCGGAGGAACCAGTGCACCAGGCCTCTAGTTCAGGATAAGAAAATACAAAGAGGTTGGCTTTTGAGTTCTGAGAGTCATACAGAACTTTCCCCTCAGGCTAGAAAGTCCCTCTATACTTCCAGCCTCTGCCCACCTCGGCAGCCACTTTCTGACTTCCATCACTGTTGTCTGCTCTTGAATTGCACATAAGTGGCATGTTTTAAGATTCACCTATATTGTTCTATATATATATATATATTCCATTGTATAAATGCACTAATTTTTTTTATCCATTTTGTTAGTAGACATTTGGGTTGCTTCATTTTGAGCCATTATAAATAAAGGAGCTATAAACATTCTTGTTCAAGTCTTCCTGTGAACGTAGGTTTTCCTTCCTCTTGACAAGCACCTAAGGGTGGCATTTCGAGGTCACAGCAGAGGATAGGTCTCACTTCACAGGCCAACCGCTCTCTAAGCGGCGCACGTTGTACACACCATCACAACGTGCAGGAATGCCAACTGCCAACACTTGTGAGCTCAGTGCTTATCTCAGTTGTTCTAATAGATGTTTTAATTCACACTTCTGTGATATGAAACATCTTTTCACCATATGCTTACTGGCCATTTTTATAACTTCATCAAGAGTCTAATCAAGACTTCTGCTTATTTTTAAATTGGATTGTTGACTTTTTAATTGCTGGTGTGTAAGCATTCTACTTTACAATACTAAATTATATGTTTTAGATTATAATTTATAGTATATAAAATATATGTTAACTATATTCATGTAAATTTAAAATTTATATAGAACCCTCGTGTCCATCAGCAGAATAAACTATGGCTGGCACACGATGGAAGCCACTCAGAGAGGCCGGATGAGTTCTGGCCGCAGAGCTGCCCGTCCAGCGCTAGTCCAGAGCATTATGCGAAGTGAACACAACCACACCCAGAGGCTGGGCACTGCATGATTCTACTGTGTGAAACCAGAGAGGCCTCACTCCAGGAAACAGGCCGACAGCTGACTAGGAGCGAGGCTGAGAACACGAGGCTAGTGGTTACATGCATAACATGCTTATCAAAACTCACTGATGCTACACTTAAAATGGGTACATTTTACATACAAATTATAGCTCAATGTTAACTTAAAACAAAATGAAAGAAGAGTCAAAGATAACCAGACTTTGTGGAAGGCCCGTAACATGAAAGAAAAGATAGAACTTGGAAGACCTGAGAACTTGCAGAAAGTAGAAGACAAGGTCAAAGAAAGCACGCGTCAGAGCAGTGATAGCTGCAGAGTGTGTTTCTGATTCCTCCTGATGGTCGGGTGATGCAGGACAAGGGGTGGAAGTGTGCTCACACTCCGCTGTGAACTTGGACTGGCATCACAGCTTGTAAAGAGCAATAAAGCTCCAGGCTGATGGGCACCCCGTGCACAGCCGTGCTCACTGCCCACTGCAGACCAGGCATCAGGCAAGGGCTGGGAACCCTGAACTAGCTGAGGAGCATGAAACTTGAAATGGGGACGTTTCAGAGTTTAAAATTTGGCAATAATGCACTTATATTTTTATGGGTTTAGCAACTTGTCAAAGTCCTTCTGTTTTGTTTTAACCACCATGAGCTTGTCTCTCAAACAGCAACGCCTCATAAGACCCATGAGGAAACCCATCCAGCAAGGTCAAGGGCAGGTTCAAGGCTGGGCAGTTAGTTTACAGCACAGTCTGGATGAGATTCCAGGTCATCTGGTTGACAGCATCTCTTGGACACCTCTGCCAAGCCACCGGCCAATGCTGACTACCGTCCAGGAGATGAGGGGGGAGAGATGGCCACCAGAGCCCAGTGCCTCCAGAGAAGCATCCCAGCTGGCCCCGCCTTGCTCTCCTGCCACACTTCCCGATCCCAGGGCTGGCGCAGTCTCTGATGCTCTGAGAGGGAGAGTACACAAGTGTCATCACCTGTGGTCACAGAGTAGGGAATGAGGACTAGGACAGCGTTTTTCAACCGCTGTTCCGCGGCACTGCCTGGTGTGCCGTAGGTGCAGACAAGACAAGAATTTTATAATTTTTCACTATTTTGTTTACTTAATATTTCATAATAAAGTAATTATAAAATACTTTCTTTGTGTTTATTTGATTCCTATTCAAGAGAATTACTTTATATATAGTCAATATAGGCACAGAGTTAAATTTTTTAACATTTTCTAATGGTGGTGTGCCTCGTGATTTTTTTCATGAAACAAGTGTGCCTTTGCCCAAAAAAGGTTGAAAAACACTGGACTAGGAAGCTAAACTCAACCTCACAGGCCTCCTGGCCAGGGGCTGCACGGCTAGCCCTAAACCTGCCTTCTCACCCCTCCTGGTCTCAGCAGCTCGAGGTGGGCTCACCACTTCCAGCCGGGCCCTGCAGGTGTCCGTCCCAGGCCCCACCCACAGGAAGCCCGCACCAGCCTCCGGCTCATCTTCTCAGCAGCACGACAGCAGCAGAGACGGTGGCAGCACGTTCTCTAAGACTCGGGCCAGCAGTTAGTTGTGTTTTTGTTTTTGTTTTTGAGCAACATATATTGTTATCGGAAACAATTAAAGACACCCACCTAAGCTGAACTCTAAAATGGGTTCATCTGGATCTTGTAGATTTCCTGAATAAAAAAGAAATGCCAGACAAAAGTCAGCCTTAGTCAACTTTTCTCTGCTTTCAAGTTTTATACAAAAAACACACAACCCCAACACACTTATCATCATTTCACAGTGTTTGTGAATCAAACCACACACCTTAACACATACAGTGATGTGTGTCAATTATTTCTCAATAAAACGGGGGTGGGGGGAAGAGATGGACTCCAATATTCTACTTATTTTGTTTAATCAAAACTTATGTGAGATGATTTCTTCATTTTATAAACTTTTTGTTCTGAGATTTCTAAAACGTCTCAGACTCCAAGACCAAACCCCTGCCTTCCCAGGTCTGCATACCCACAACAGACAGGCCTTTTGCTGTGGCCTGGGCTCTGGCCAGACTGGCCCCATGGGCACTCCCACATCAGCTCCTGGCAGGAAACCTGCAGAGACTGGCTCCCGCGGAGGCAGTGCCAGGGAGAGGGCTGGCTTTCCCCTCCCTATTCCGACTCACCCAGAGGAGGCCACACCGGCACCCTCCAGCCTGGGGCAGTCACAGGGGGCTCATACTGGCTGTCCCAGGTGCCCCAGGAGGTTTGGTGCCCCTCCCAGAACTGCCAGGTGGGAGGAACTGGAGCCGCCCCGAGAGGCTCACCTGCCAGGGAGAGGCCAACCATGTCCGCGGCCACATCGACGGTGGAAGCCCGCTGCAGTGCACGGGCCCTGGCGCCATGGCGAGGGCTGTGCTCTCTTGCTGTCATGATGTCATTGGTGGTGATGTGTTTCCTGCTCCTGGGTCAGACCACGCCTGACTCCTCGGGGAGAGCTGTCATCCAGCCCTGTCCCTAAGGTGGCAGCAGTCCTGAGACATGGGAACGGACAATGGTAAGAAGCACAGAGACGGTGGCCGGAAGGCGCTGGGGGAGCACAGAGTGCGTGAGCTACAGGAGCAGCAGAGCGAGGCCAGGGTCCCAGCAGGCCGGGCCGGTCTAGGTCTCTTCCTCCATCACCACGCTCCCTACGCTCCCGGCACTCACACACCAACACAGCAGGCCCCTGGGACCCATACAGAAATTGTGTTCTCTCTGACAAAGACATGTCGCTTTAAACAATGTTTTCCATACAATCGTAAAGCATGGCTTATGAGATTTGATTTGCTTTGTTAAGCTTTTCCCTTGGCAAGTCTCATAGAATTTCATAACATTTAAAGCCAATTCCCTACAACCTGTTAGGATACAGATGCATGAAGGGTCTGCCACCCTGGCTACAACAGGTGGGGCAGGGGACAAAGGCATATGCTCTCCAACCTTGCCCTCTGTCTTCCCAGAGCTACAGAACTTTATGTGGGTCTTGGTCCCGCCTTTCTTTTGTACAAAACAAATACGTGATTCTCTCGAGAGCGGAGAGTGCTGTGCTGGAGTGTGGCCATCTCTGAGGGCGGCCTCTGCCGGCGGGGTCAGACAGCCGGTCAGAGAGCCGCCACGTGGGAAGCAGGAAGTGAGCTTCACATTCTCCCAGCCCCACGCGCGGCCATTCCTGCTGACTCTAGAAGGTGCCGCCCTTTGGGAGGTAAGGTAAGGAGACCGGGCAGAGGGGCTGGTTTAAAACACCCTCCAAGCCTGCCGTTTCCAGCCGCCCCGTCTTCTCTCAGGGTGTCCGCACCTCTACCGAAAGGGCCCGTGGTCCTGCTCCTGCGGGGGTTCCCTCACCCACAACTTACTGGACATGTTTGTTCCTGGATCCGTGGAGACACGTGGCAATTCTTCATAGAAGCATATCCAATTCCATCGCCTAAAAGTAGGAAGTGACACACTTAACAAGCTGGCCAACACACAGGGAGTTCTTGTGAAGGACATTATAACTCCAACACTAGAGACACGGGAAAGCCACAGGCTGCCCGTGTTCCTCTCTCCACACCCCGGTCCACCTTCTGGCTCAGAAACAAGGCTTTGCTCAAAGCCCAAACGAATGAGGACTAGAAACACACACTCTGTTCCACTCTAGGGGTGACCCAGGGAAATCTGAGCCAGCCCTAAAGAGCCACGTGAGCAGCTGGGGTGGATCAGGGATAAGGGGAGGTGAGGATCTGAGCCTCAGTCCTCCCTCTCACAGGCCTCGGGTCCGAAGAGAAGCACTTTGCCGTCTAAGATGAAGCTAGTTGTACCCATCTCACAGGGCGCACTGAGAACCAGACCTTCCACAACGGGAGAGGGCTCTGCAAACTCCACTCGGCTCCCCAATCTCTGCTGGCCCACAGGCGCCATTTTGAAGCAGGACCCCCCAACTCTGACTCAGTCCCAGCACTGCTGGGGAGATGTCGGGGCGAACCTGGGGCCCAGACCCCTGGAAGAGCAGCGCGCTGGCCCCGGGCACACTCAGTCCCCGGAGCTGAGCTCCAGCCTCTCCCATTGGGACACCCGGACCTCCAGCCGGTGCCCCCGCCGAGGAGCATGGCCTGGCGGGTCTCAGGAGAAGTCACCAGGGAAGATGCATGTTTGCTGAAATCGGAAGGCATACAAGTCAAAAACAGGCGATAAAACTGAGAAAGTATTATATACTAACACCTGTGAACCTGTAATTTACAAATTAAGTTTAAAAACTCACTAAAAATCCAAGTAGCAAAAGGTAAGAATTCATAAAAGAGTAATACATGTGGTGAACATTTTGAACAGGGACCAGACTCACCCATTATAATAAAAAGAATGCTCACCATACCTCCATTTCCCTAAATCAGTCTGCCAAAAGCAGTTAGTCCTGTTGAGAATATGCTTTGTGAGGGACCTAGAGGAAATTCCACAGGACTGTCTTGTAGTGCTGATGACATACTACAGTACTGCAAGCATTTTTTAAAAATATATTTTATTGATTTTTAACAGAGAGAAAGGGAGATATAGAGAGCTAGAAACATCGATGAGAGAGAAACATCGACTAGCTGCCTCTTGCACACCCCCTACCGGGGATGTACCCACAACCAACGTACATGCCCTTGACCGGAATCGAACCTGGGACCTTTCAGTCCGCAGACCAACGCTCTACCACTGAGCCAAACCAGCTTCGGCACTACAAGCATTTTTTAATCTAACATTATTTATCAAAATTTGACCACAACAAAATTCTCACCAATGACCCAAAGATGCATCCTGCAGTATTGCTTAAAACGACAAACTGAGACCAATCCAGGTACCCACTGCAGGTGCCAGTGTGTCAACACCTGTGAACACTGACATACGTGTTCACATGGTCCTAATAAAGCCAACAACCACATGGACAGCTCTCCCACCTCATCAGACACCAGGAAAAGGCACGTCATAGGCACGAGATAGCGCATACCCACTAGAATGGCTAAAATGAAAAGGCGGCAATGCCAGGTGCTGGTGAGGATGAGGTAATGGCACCTGAGATACTGCCGGAGGCGGCCAGGGCACGGCCACTCTGGAAAACGCAGTATCTACTCAAACCGAACACACATCCACCCAAGAATCCAGAATTACTAATAGAAATGTATGCTTATATTCCCCCCAAAGATGCGAAGAACATTTAGAGCAGTAACATTTATAACAGTCAGAAACCAGAAACACCCAAATGCCCACCTACAGCAGGTGAACACAGCAACACAGGTGGCTCCCAGAAACGGTATCAAGGGGAGCGCCAGGCACGCAGAGCGCCTCTGGGCAACTGTGTCTCTACGAGGCTTGGGCACAGCCAATGAGTCCTTGGTGTTGGAGTCCAGACGTGGTCCCTCTGAGGGGTGAGTGCTAACGGAGGGGAGAGGGGAAGGGGTCCTACCTCAATAAAAAGTTTACTTTTTCAATGGCTGCGATGGAGACAACACAGTACGAAAGATGTTTATGTCAGTTCTGCACCATGTGCGTTTTCCACGTACTATTCTGCCTGTGACCTGGTTCCAGCCCTTCCTCAAAAAGATGTGCACAAAGGCAAAGAGCCCGCAGGAGGCCGCAGCAAGACAGTGGCCATGTGGAGGGACATGACGGGGCATGGCTTCCTTTCTTGGCTGTCACCCGCTTGCGTCACTGAAATCTGCACCCCATGCTGGTGGAGGCAGAGGTGGCACCTGGAGATGAATCAGCCAGGAAGCTCTTCTCTCTTGAACCCCCCTTCCCCCGGCTTGTCCATAAAGATACAGCCGCTTTCCCTTCAGCTGGGACAGCAGAGACCTGCCACCTACCACGGGGCTCATCTCACCCTGACATCTCACCCACCCAAGGGAGCTCCCATCCCCCGTCCCCTGCAGGGTGGCTGCCCCTCCCCCACCCGCCCTTTCCCAGGAGGCAGTTTAGTGTTAAAGGCATTATGAGATTCTGGGGATAGTCATGCTTCAAGGGGAACATCTACAGACTAATTTTACAAGCTTGATAGGGTTCACAGGTCACAGAAGCTTTTAGGTCAAAAAGACCTCAGAAGGCAGTTGGTGGTTACTTGGGGGCATTTAATTAGAATCTGCAATTTAAGTCATCAAGACCCAGAACAAAACGCTAATTTGCACAGCTAAACTCAATTCCTGTGTAAGTCTCATTAATTTAAGGTGATTCACCAAGGACTCCCATATTCCCATGGTCCCCGTTTTTTTTTTTTTTTCCCATTTGAAGACTGAAGCTCATTAGAAGTGAAATTACTCTAAAAAAAAAAAAAAAAAAAAAAAAAAGAGGACAGAGGGGAGGAGCTGTTTGGAGGACTAGGCAGGGAGGGAGGCGAGAAGATGGCAGGGGCACGCAGGACACTAACTGCCTCCTCTTCCTCACTCGGAGAACCAGGTGGTCCCAGCTGCCGGACACTGGCCATCGAGCCAGCCATGTGGGCCTATGCAGGGAGAGGGCAGGGGCAAGTGAGGCAGCGAGGGAGGCTGGGACCCACCCAGCTTCACGGGACCAGTGAGGCGGCACCACTGTCAGGCGCTTCTCCAGGGGCCAGTCTTGCCGCCTCCAGAGACCATGCAGCTTGCGTCAGACAAGGAAGGCTGGCCCCTCTGCTCAGTGAGCTCTGGGGAGGACTAACCACGGAGCCCGCTTTTTAAACATTTATTTGGTTAATCCTCACCTCAGGATATTTTTGCGTTGATTTCTAGAGAGAGTGGAAAGGAGGGGGGAGGCAGAGAGGAAGAGAGAGACATCGATGTGAGAGAGACACACTGATTGGTTGCCTTCTGCACGAGCCCCAACTAGGGACGGGATCAAACCTGCAACCCAGGTACGTGCCCTTGTCTGGGAATCGAACCCAAGACTCTTCAGTGTGAGGGCTGATGCTCTCACCATGAGCCACACCGGCCAGGGCCAGAGCCCGGCTTTTACTGATCTGATACACTGGGATTCTTCTGAAAATAACCTTAAAAAGGAGATGCACAGGTGAGGTCACGGAAATCCAGACACTTCCTCAGGGCCACGTGGAGGCACAGAGAGGAGGAGGAGAAACAACCCCAAGCCAAGGCCAAGCACGGCTGGGGCTGTCCTCCCTGCCCTTCGCGGCCCAGCAGGCCCCTCCCGGGCGCTGGGAGCCAGGGGCTAAGAGCAAGCCTTCCCCGGCCTCCTCTCCTAACAGGGGGCAGTGAAAGTCAGAGAGAAAGGCTGAGTGAGTCAGCTGTGAGTCAGCAGCCCTGAGGAGGAGCCACCTCCGGAGCAGAAAGAGGAAGAGTTTTCTCTCAAAACCCCTAAATCCAGGACAGCCACAGTGGCCGGTGAGGAGGCATCCCGCGGCTCACTGGCACCCAGGCCTGGGAGAGGGCCGCCGCCCGCGCCCGCGCCCGCGCCCGCACCAGGCGAGCCCTGCAGACAGCACCCGCCGCTGTCCTTCCAGAGTGCCCCGACGGCTGGCCCGCCGGGACCTGTGTCTTATGAATAACACCCTCCTGGTGCAAAGACCAGGTTTTAGACAAACACCTGCTGGTAAGCAAACTTTAAACTTCTGTGGCAACTTCTGCTCACCAGAGTCTGGCTTTTTCCTGCCTCCGAGATACCCACAGACAACTCCGGCCCCTTCCCTCAGTGCTGGAGGCCTGCCCCTCCCTCCGCCTCCTGCTCCCTCCCTCCAGCCCCGGCTCCCCCCCACCCCCCACCCCCGCACCCTCCCTCCACCTCCTGCTCCCACACCCACTGGCTGAGGGCGAGGAGAGGCTCACTGTGAGCAAAGCTCCAGCTCAGAGAACATCGTCTAGCACGGAGCACACTGCAAACACCGGCCAGGGCTGCTAAGACTAAATGTAGGAAACTAATGGGCTTTAGGAAGTCAAGCCAGGAAAACAAAGAATGTGCTGTCGCCCTAGCTGGTTTGGCTCAAGGGACAGAGGCTGGCAGACTGAATGGTCCTAGGTTCGATACAGTCAAGGGCACATGCTGGAGTTGCAGGCTCAATCCCCAGTGCAGGAGACAGCCGATCAATGATTCTCTCTCATCATGGATGTTTCTCTCTCTCTCTCCCCCTTCCTCTCTGAAATCAATAAAAATATATATTTTTTAAAAATGTGCTATAGTTGATGCACATTCTCACTGGCAGGTCAAACTGCTGGGGCTGCTTCTCACTCCCCAAGCCCTGCTCTGTTCCATTCACAGGAAGCTCGCCACCCAATCTATAATATTAACTAACCAGCCTCAATTGTTTCATGAATATGGCAGCTGATAAAATATAATGCCTAACCCAGATTCAAATGCACATCTGGGACAAGGGGAGGAGTCAGTCACCATGAGTGGGCCATGGGCAGCCCTCTGAAAACCAGGCAGGCCAAGTGCCCTGGGAAGGGCACACCCAGATTGTTCAAGTTTCCCTCCTGCCACTCCTCCTTC